GCTTCTAAAACAGTGTAGTTTTAATATTTTATAATTCAGACAATGGACAAAATCCAAAAGAACAGTTCCCCTTCTGTAAAAAATCTACAGTATTTTCCAGGATAGCAACTAATGTGTAAATCAGGGCATACCTTTGTGTAATATAACAATGGCTGTTCTTTGTGTCTATGCTTGCTTCAAGCAGCACAGTAACTCACCCAGTTTAACAGCAAGTTTCTTTATTCCCTCTGTACCAAACACAGACATGATCTCTGCCAGGGCACTCAGATCGTCAGGCGAACGGAAGAAAGGATAGCAGCCGCTGAGAATGCACAGCAGGATGATTCCAGCAGCCCACATGTCAACAGCTGCAAATGAAACCTAAAGTCGGGCCTGCCACACTTCGTACACTCACCACACACAAAATCTGACAAACAGACCCTCAAGAGACTGCAAAATGCTCAATCAAAGCCTCGGACAGACGGACTCCAAATGGAAGAGGAAAATTGAAGAGGCCATGAACTGAATACAGACCGGAGAGCCATAGAAGAAGAAGATTCATAAAGAAATCCCCTCTAATATTTGTTTGTATATTTGGCTATTTTAAATTTCAATTGCTAAGGTTATGTAATATTTCATATGGTACAGTGGGATTATAAAGAATGAAGATGTGAGAGGAAGTGGTGATGATGTCTGCTATTACATCACATTGACATTTGTCTGGAGGGACACAAAATGCATTAACCAAATCAGATATTTCCACAGTGCAAGTCAGATGTGTTACCACTATGCTAACCAGGGCAGCAAATCTCACTCAAACCCCTTGGACGTAATACATATATGGTTATTGCCATCACCCTGTGACATTTGTACATTCACTCAGTTAATTCTCATTTTTGCCTCTAGACATCTTAAGTATATGAGAAAGTATAAACAAAACACTAACTAACCAACTAACTAACTAGATGGCTTACCGAACCCGAAGGTTCATCACCGAATTAACCAAAGCCCTCCACCGGACCCTGTCCTGGGCCAACAAAATCCAGTCTCCTTCAGCTCCTATCTCCCATAGATCCCGCCTGACATTATCCTCCCATCTACGTCTAGGTCTTATCTTTCAGGTCTTAGTCACAGCCATCTTTTAATACCTGTTGTCTGCAGAGGATATTTGAGTAGCACCTCCGGAGGTCTGAAGCCTGGGGTGCCTGCCCTTGGAGCTGCCTGCACTTTGCGAACCATGCATACAGAGCAAACTTGTGGCTTGCCATAACAATGGCACTGTTGAGTCACTGGTGTCTTGGGACGCATCTGCTTCACAGGCGGAGGCTTCGAAAACACGAGATTTCTCTGTTGCTGCTGGTGCTGCGATGATAATGATGGATTTAATAGATGAGATTTCACCTAAAACAGTGTATCTCAGATCATGGAAAAGAAAATGAGCTACAAAAATAAAATAAAAACTGTGTATTCATTCCAAGACTTACAAATAAATTTTATTTTCATATATTAAATGAAAAGTTAGATATGAGATTTTCTCCTAATAAAGCAAACATCATAACCTGGGGGAAAATTTGAAGGATCCAATATAATGTTAGATAACAGAACAGGTACATGAATTCAAATATTTAAAAAATATAATAAGCCAAGCGTGACAGATTTGAAAATAAAAAGTAAGCATATATAAGTGCAGTAATTACACACCTTTCTGCAAAATAATGCCGAAGAGCCCATCACGAGTCTATATTCTGAGCAAGATAAATCCAGTGCATCCACTCCCATCCTATTCCCATAAAATATCTTTTAACATAATCCACCCATCCATGCCTTTGTCTTCCAAATGTTCCAAATGGTCTCTTCCCTTCAGGCTTTCTAACAAAAATTGTATATGCACTTCTCACCTCCCACAAGCCCAGTCAACCTCATCCTCCTTGATTTGATCATCCAAGAAACATTTAAAGTTACACAAAAATTTGGTTAAACCACTGGCAGAATATGGCAGACAGCCATAAACATGAGGTTAGAGATAAAAGAACAATACAATTAGTATAAATGAGAAATTTTAAGACCCTTGAAAACACATGAGTAGACATAGAAATTGAAATATGTGAGAATTGTAAGATAAACAATACATTTGTAAGAGGTTACTACACATTGGAAATGAAGACAAGATATTGTAGATAAAATGTTGGGAATACAGCAGGCAGAAGGCAGACATGTAAAATAGGTTTCTGAAATCTGCACATGTTGCCTAACCCCTGAAGACAAAATAGACAAAAACCTAAGATTTACCATACAAACACTAGACATGGAATATAAACAGTGCTTGGAATTTTATCTTTATAGTATATTCTAGTTAGTTTTCATGACATAAAACAACAGACACTAAGGCAATGTCCTACGTAAGCGATAACAAGCGAGCTGCATAAGCAGCATGGGGTGTCATATGAAGCGGGGAATTGCTTGTTGTGTCCTACGTGAGAGACTGCAATAGAAGCACACGGCCTTCCTGCGCATGCGCCTTACTGGCCAGCGCAGCGACTCGCGCGAAAATATCAAAATATTTTATCTCGGACTTTGGCCGCTTCCCTCTCCTGACCGCTTCGCTGGAACCTAGGACAGCGCCACACAAACAGCCAGTTTGATATTTCCGCTTCACCCACGCAACTCGCACAGCTCGCATTTAATTGCTCAAGTAGGACACCGGGTAAGAGCACAGACAATGTACACCACAGCTAAGAGGATCTGTACCTGTGAATTTTGCACCCGTACAAAGCTAGGTCCACTGGGTGTCTGCGGGGCAAGAATCTGAAATTTAGGTCCATCTAACTGGGTACTGCTGTTCATCCTTGGGGAGCCAGCTGAGAATAGCTTCTTCTTGATGGCATTTTGTTTTATATTCAAGCGACTATCTTGCAGTGGAGAGCGAATACCCTCAGCATGCAGCATCTTATGTTTTGGGGTCATTTTGCTGTGTGGTGGTGTGTTCTCATTCTTTCTATGAAGAACCTGCCAACAAAATAAGCATGCCAAGAATTATACCATGTCTTTCTACCACTGGTCTATAAGTTATTTTGATTGCCACATTGCTGTATAGTAAACATAGTCTTCCTAAAAGATGCTCCAGTTTTCATTGCATATAAATGTCTAACTAAATAGCAAAAATCACTGTCTTTACTGCCTCTGAGTTCAGTATTCTTGAGAGACTGACAATCATGTAAAAACATTTTCAGTATGTGCACCGTCTGCAGTCGATAACGGAAATTTTGCACCACTTAAGTTAATTTCTTCACTGATGTTGATCACAGCTGTCAAAAATTCTTGTTGCAGTTCTTTGATTGTGTGCGGATGGTGACATTGCCACTAGGGGCAGCACATTCTTCCAAGAGCACTGACACCAAATCCAGTAATGTTTGATATGTAGTTAGGTAATTATATTCAATAAAATTGGAACATCTTTGCAGCTGCATGAGCTCACTAATGCTTATTATTCCACCTAACACATACCAAGAAAGCAGAACTGTGTTCTCCAAATTAAGTATAAACTGATAGGAACACCTTCCTCTCTGTAACAAGACATTCCATATGTAATCTACATATATATTATGTTTACCTTACTCCTCAAAGGAGACAGACCAAGTTTATGAACATCATTCTCTGGAACAGAATTCTTAATGCTGTCTTTCGTCTCTGAGACATTATAACCATTTGATTTGTCATTCCTGGAAATGTTCATGAAGTTGCTGTCATTTGTACGTGGTTGTAAAGCCATTCTCTTTTTCTTCTGAAAATCTGGAGTGTCTGTGCATGTAGATATATTTGTGTTCTTGTCATCCTAACAAAGCAGAAAATTTACACTGTTATTACAAACCAACAGTGTGTAAAGACTAAATTAAGATCAAAATGGAAACACAGAAACAGAAAAATACAGTAAAATGTTGTACTTTATTTTTAATGTTTTTTTATGTTCATGCCTTATATTCTTCTCAAATGACTGAGAAAAACTATGAAACATCTCAGGCTGGGCACTGCTTGGCCAAGAATCAAATAAGTTACCTTAGCAGGCACATTACTTACTGTGGTGTTACCCTGCTCAATTTTTATTAATAAACCCATGAAAAACACAATTATGAAAATCCCCCTTGACAGAAAGAGCACATGCATATGCTGAGTCTGAAAATATAAGGAGGAAAGCATCACATTTACCTCTTCACGCTTTCTTTTTTTTAAATGTACAGTCGTTTCAGAAGGAATGGTAACTGTTCCAATATCAGTAGTTACACATTGGGCTAGGCCAAAGTCAACCAGTAAAAACCTGTAACAAAAGTGAAGCAACTGATATATACAAAATTCTAATGTTATCAAACACAAATAAAAAGCAACTATAAAAAATACAACACTGCAGATTAATGTGTTTATCCTTATTCTGATTCCAATACTGCATCCAGCTTCCTTCCACAAAAATAGAAAATTAAGTTGTACCCATGCTTTGTGTTTGGAAGGTCTCAGTTTCAAAGCTTTGCCCAGAGACCTGCTACTTCAGTATTCTTTTACTCAGCCACTTCTCAAAATGGTGGCAAAGTATCTGATAACAGGGTGAAAACATTCCATCTACATCCTTCCAATTCAGCATTCACAAATCAACCACCATTTGATACTAAAAAACCTAAGCAATTGAATAAATCAATAATCACAGCTTCAAATTAAGAAGCCTCTTTTTTTTTCTTACTGAACTATCTGGCACAAAATACACTAAATTATGCACTATCTACCCACCTGTCCATTACATTTTACTCTTGAGCTTATCCAATGATATTAATCATAAAATAAAACCTTCTACAAGCACAACCTCAGATTATGTTATTTTTTTTGTTTATTTAATGATACATTCTCATCTACATAGGTTATACAGTATAAAATGATGATTTGAAAATGATATTAAAGATCATACAGATTAATGGTAATTATGTAAGCCACCTACATTTACACTGATAACTCTATAAGCAGCTCAAAGTTTTCACTTGGTTTCACAGATAAAAAGCAAATATTTAAAGCCAAAAGTACTTACTTCTTATTTTCACGATCATACAGAAAATTACTGGGCTTGATATCTCGATGAATAATATTGAAAGAGTGAACTCTGCGCAATGCAATAAACAAGTTCAACATATAATCACGTGTCTCTGCTATGCTCATGTCTTGCACATAGTCCTGTAAAACAAACACAATATGACATCAGATGGTTTCAACTAGTGATGAAGAATCCATGCAGTCCATTAGAAAACCAATATTTTGCACTCTCTAAAAATTAATCGCTGCATTTGTACATTAAAATTTCAAGTAGAAGGGCTTTTACAACAATTTCCAGCAAACCTCAAATGGTTACATGTTTCAACACAGTTATGTCATCTTCAGGCAATAAATAACATTCAAACTATGTTCTTTTCTAACAAGTAAGCAGAATATAATATATTATTATTGTTGATATCATACCATAGTTACTTTAGCTTGCTATATCAGGTCCATTACATGTCACATAAAATCACAGACATCTGTATCTAAAAAAGAGCTGGATATTTTAATCTTGTTAATTTTAATAGTTTTATATCACAATAATAAATAAAATGATAATAAAATCTATGAAATAAAATCTAATGTATTACAGGAGCATATTAACAAATCAATAAGCCTAGTAACTACAGAATACATATAGATATTAAAACTTACACTAAACCTCTTGTGAGGAAGGTATGGCATGATGAACACCACACAATCATCCTGGCGCAAACATAAGTCAATACCAATCACATTGTCTGAACCCCTAGAACACAGTCAGTTGTACATTACAAACTACATGTTAATAATAGAAGAGGTTCTCACGCACACTGCTAGAAGGATTTATAAATTCCTGATTATACGATTTAGTGATCAATTCCTGTTCATAACTCCCAATACCATAGATTTCCACTACACAGAAGTTGCTTGATAAAACTCAAAAGTTACATCACCACAAAAATTACTAACTCTATGGAGTAGGGTTCTTCTTGAGAAGCTAATCATCACACTACATGGCTAGTCAAAAATAAAAATCCCACCTCTTATGGAACCAAAATGTTCATTACCACATTCACAAGAGTCTGCCATTGATTTTAAATTCTACCAAAAAGTACTTTTAGAAAAATAGCATACTTTTTATGATTTGCTAATGCACACAAAGAATAACTTCAAAACAATTTTTCATTTATAACCTGGCACATTATAGCTAGAAATTACCTCCAGTTCTTTTCAAAAAGGAAGAAAGTATGAGAAAATCATTGTAAGTCCTACAACATAAATATATATCTGTATGGAGTCAGATCAACATTTCAATTAAAAGCTTCACAGCATATTTCCTTCTCTTTTCTTGAATGAAGGGATCACAGTTTCAAAAAATGTGAAATTCTAGTTTATAATCTGTAATATTGTGTTAGAATTCTATTGACCATGCTTATTTAATTTTACCTCTAAAATTGTCCAATTGGGATCCCATATTAGGAACTGGTATAGTTTCAAAAATGACTATTGCACATAATAGGATCAATTTTTTAAATTATATAGTTAACCTTAACACCCAAAAGGAAGATTAGCTCAAGACAGGAACAGCAGGTTAGGGAAGTATGACATAGCAGGAGGAAATACCATGAGGAAAAACAGACAAGTAGCTGTGGGAAGACAAAGACAAATGCTGAGGATTGATTGCCAGATGACCCACATAGAGCAGAAACACATAGGATGAAGAAAGATAGAGTTGACATTCACGATGACAGTAGCAAACCACTTCTGGTTAGATCAGAAAACCACCATGTGTTTCCTTCATGTAATAAAAATGTTGGGAGAGGGGGAGGGAAGAAAAAACTAATATCAAGACAAGGCTCTTACTGCAAAAACAAGACATATATGAATAAATTATGAAGAACTGTCAACAAGCTAAAGTAACAAGAAACCATTATTAACTTTCTTACCCTATATCCTGCAAACATTGTAGTTCCCGTTCAGTACGTGATGACAGACTTGTTGGTACCAAATGCTTGATAGCAAATTTCCGAGCTATGTGTTTACTATTTGGATTAGTATTCTTGAGTGTGCCAAGGAACACAGAGCTAAATGTGCCCTCTCCTACTTTCTGATGTATATGAAAATTATCTGCCAGTGGAGGTAACTTTGTCAGAAGATAATGTATCTGATTCTGGTCACCTGTTAAATAAGGTATGCAATAAATTAGTTACAAACCCTTATTTAACAATTGTGTACAAGAACTGATGCCACAGCTCATCTTTAGTTAGTCTGACATATGGATCAGTGAATCTATATTTCTATTTGTAGTGTTTAAAACACTTACGTTCCATTGTAGTATTCTTTACTGCAGCTTCCCCTAAAGATAATGCATTACTGCAAGGGGACTGATGAGTGGAATCCACCAAAGTCTGTTCTGGATCAGGTTCAACACTGCCCTGTGTCTTTTTGCATATGCCATAACCTCCTTCCTGAACTGCTTCATTGCCCTTAAGTGGCAATTTGGGTATGGTGGGGGCATAACACTGATCTTCAACATTTTTAACCTTGGTAATGAATTCTTCATGAGATGCTGTAGCCAGAACTTCCATTTTGTCATACTATTGGCGTCTGTGAATAAAACAGAATTTATTATTATCTATTCCAAATAAAATATTTCTACTGCTGAGGCTATTTGAAATTTCACGTAAAATTGACTTTTTATACAATACCAGAGCAGAATTTATATTCCACTAGTGATATCCAATGTTAACTGTTAATTTACAAAAACAATTTACTTTCATACTAAAACAGATTACTGAAAATCCAACAATTTCTGACTTACCGTTTTCCTGTTTCCCTTGTTTGTTTACGTATTCTAAAAAGACCCGCGTAAGCATAGATAACCTTCGCGTTCGTGATTATTACCAACATTATTCTCTGGCATCACATTTCCTCAGCTAGAAGCACGAATCTTCCCCGTCTAACATATTCGCTCGAATCATCCTGGATAACAATGTATGTTTCAAAGGAGAGTATGATAATAAACTGTAATTGTTACATTCTGTCGTACAAGTAAGTCTATTACAGATAAAACAGGTTAACAATATAACACCCATACGGGATTTTAACAATATGAGCAGAGATATATATATATATACACACAGTAAAACACAGCAATAAAATTCCATATTGTATATATAGGTTAACCACTAGGTAGCTCTGTCGCTGTCATAACTAATTTAAATATTAAATGTCGTACTTACATAAAAGTGTCCTCTTCATTATTCATGACACATTTCTTTTATTACTTTCAGTCTAAACAAGTATGTCCAAATAAAATATCACACTGAAATAACAACGTATAATACTGGCACTAGCTTCATTTAACAAGACTGCAATCTGAATAATTTCAGTGGGTGCCCAAATCAAAGGGCATCCATGAAGTGAGTGCATATCATTCCTATAACCTACAAACCCAAAGTGTGGCAATAGTGATCAATTTATGAGTTATGGGAAAGGGATCTGGCAGAGATGGGAATGGGGGTGAGTCAGTAATAATTCTAGCACCAAACATATATTTTGGATAATAAAACTATTTGTAAAAAATTGAGAAGACATGAATTTGACTGAGCTGGGTCAGGAACAAGGATAGGTAACCAATGGCTAGACATAAAAAAGGAATTAATGTTTCAAATATTATAAGGGAGTCAAATACTACCAAAATACTTAGCTAAAACACAATGAAAAGATACCAAACCGTGCTCTGAAACAAAGACCACTGGTGTGGAGAGATCCTCACTTCTTGAAGAAAAGATCGAGAAAGTAATTCAGCTGAAGGTTGTACATAAGGGGTTCTCAACCTGCAGCCCACTGTTGTTTTTTATATGGTCTGTGTATATATAGTGTGTTAATTTGTATGATGTAACTGATATCAGAAAACATGCTTCATTAATACTATCAGTATTTGGTACCAGGGCTATCTATTGCTGTGAGTAACTGTTCAGTTTTATGAAGAATCTCAGATAAAGAATTAGGTTGCATCTCACTGATGAATACTTGGATGGATGGATGTACATCATAACAGAAATTAAACCTAATATTGAAAGGTTACTCTAGAAAGTCAGTGTCAGATATATTATAACTATGACTGATTCTGTTAAAGAAAATGTAAATCTGTTGTAATACAAATTAACAGTAGTTCTAATAAACTGCCATTAAGTTTCAATAAATTGTTCTCATTTATAAGCTTACAGCTCACAAGTTGATAAATGGTGAATGTAGTGCTATGTTTGTAAAGGGTTAAAGAATCTCTGGATTAGAACAGGCAATTAAGTCTATCTTATATAGGTGAGATTGCAGGTTGCCACAGTGACAAGTATAAAGATTGTTGTCTTCTTTCATGTAGTTTGGTAGATATTAATCCATGTTTCAGATGAGCTAATTTCGTGTTGCTCTTATGGCTAAGATTGATTAGATTATGCTTTACTACCCATGGATATATGAAGTTCTATTTCATGCAGTTACAAGTTGATAATTAAACATTTAAAATATTTTGTTTTATTTCATATTTGCTTTAACACAAGTGCTCTGGACAGAACTTGACACATAAGATTAGATACCTATATTACAACAATAACAACAACAACAACATTGTGAATGTATACTGTACTGTAGGTTGTGTGCGCACACATTCATATAAGATAGACAACTAATGTTTGAAGGTCATATGTTATACCATTCCATTTTCAAAACTGTTGTCATGTAATTACAGATACCTTTAGCATCTGAAATTAAATGGTCATGAAGCAGAAAGTGCGTTTGTTTTTTTTATACCGTTGATATTCTGAATTTTTAAATTTAATTATGTGCTCATTGCAGTCGCTTGGCCATGTTACTCTTCCCACTTATCAAGCAAAGGTTTTAAGAATGCTTTCTTTTTAAAATACATTGGTATTAATTAGTTACATATACTTAATTAAAGTTACATCTTATTAACACAATAATTGCACTCATAGCACAATACATCACTGACATATATACACATACATTTCAATTTCATTTACTAATTTCATGGTAGTATTATGTCCACTAGATTTTGGGGCCTGCCCTTAATGTACAAAAGTCAACCAGTATAGAAGTTCTAATTTATATATGTATATGTTACATAACATGTCTTTGAAGGAAAACATTTTAATATATTTATATACCTTGCGTTATGAAACAGGAAATATAAATTCAGTAGAATCAATATAAAAACAAAGGCTTTCCTGACTTTATATTGGATTGAATTACAGACAATGTTTTGAAGAGTTGGAAATTTACAGAATCGTTACTATTTATATAATATTATAGAGCATTCTGCTTCTTGTAATATCACAGAAAGATGCAGTGACATTGGTAACATTCAACTACAGTACATCATTAAAAAGAACAACAACTCTTAAAATTTAAGTTGGAAGTAGAAGAACAATACTATGGATAACAACACATTAGGATGTATTAAGTTTGCAGGTTATGTTAGCTCACCCCATTATTTCAAATACTTGCAACTGACTTGCTTTAGGTTACAGTTTAACATATAATAGGTAGTTAATTTACCAATCTCTTGGCTACAAGATAAACTAATAGCTGAGACTTCTTAAAACAGCCTGTTAACTTGGTATCTTCAAATGCAGAATAATTCTCTGGGAGTAAAACCTAAAATTTGAACACCATTAACACCAGAATCCATAATTGGGCAGAATCATCAGCCATCTACCTTCAATGCCCACAGTCTCCTTCTCTAACATCCATCTTAATCTTCCCTTCTCATCTTCTTCTTGATCTTTCAAGAGGCTGGATCCTAAGATGTTTTTCTAACAAAATTATAAACACATTCATTGTTATCTCCATCATAGTACATGCCCAGTTCCTTGTGGTCTCCTAGATTTTACTATTCTAACATCATAAGTTGATATAATGAATCTCTTTGTCATGTTTGAATCTAAACTGTCTACTTATTTCATCCTTCTTTTATATTCAAATATGTCTCTGAACACTTTGCAGTGAAATATAATACAATTAAACGTTTTCTACTGAAACAGAACCCTTCAATGTAGTGCATAAAAGGCATTTAAATTAACTAGTGCTATAACCTTAGAACACGAGACATTTAAATGATAGGTTACAATTTCTCCATCAGACTTTGTTTGTAATATGAAAGACAAACTTACCTGTTAGTGGTGATTTAAATAAATGGACTATAAAGGCACTAACAGAACATGAGGTGATGAAAAACTGAAACTTGTCCAGTTAATTCATGAGACAGATATCAGTATTAACAATATAAACCTAGTACATAATACTGTCTACTTTCATTATCTTTGCTACTGGATAACAAATTTTGTTCTGCATATTTATGAAAGTATATGCTAAATTTTAATAATTAAAATCTTGATTAGTGGCCCACATCAACTTCAAGGACCATTTGGCATTAACAATGTTAGTGATTACTGATTTTTGTTGATTGATTTATTTAACATTTCTTTATAAAAATTTGTCAGTGGTAAATACTGAGTGATTTAGACAGTAAAAGTTATCAGTAACAGTGGGGTACAAGTGGAAACATCTGATTCAAACTGAGCTACAATACAAACTACATTTTTGTGAGTTCAAACTGTGCATATTTGCTGAACATGAAAGAAAGTGTTAGCAGCATATTTTAAAGTACTATACCAGAATCTGTACAGACAGACTTAAAAATCATAAATCAGGAAAGCTGGTTCACAGGCTGTGATTTGAACAAAGAGATTCCTGAATGTGAATTATTAGTATTAACCATGACGCCATGTTTTGTTAATAGGGCTGAAGCTACAAACTTGACACATCCTCAGTTAGTACCATTTCAGTCAATTATATCACATAAAGATATTTCAGAACCAGTCATACGGTGCTATACATGTGCATAAAAATTACAAGAACACTTCATAAACACATGCATACACACATCTGATTAAGTTATGCTGGATGCATTACAATAAAATATCCAGAAATTATCATAAGACTGTCTTGTAAATGTGAACTAGATGTAAATCTACAAATAGTTTTATATTATTTTATTTCTTCTGAATTTTCAACCGCCATATCAGTATTTAAAGCTTTGGACCAGTGTTTTCATCTGAATATTGAACTCCCAAACAATTATAATTGGGAGACAAGCTATTCGTGGGACACACACAACACTCAATTTTATGGTCACCACTCGACTGTACAGTTTCTATGAAAGACAAAACTGACAAGCATAGTTTGTAACACCAAAGAAGGGAGAATTAGTAAGTGATATTTTTAATATTACTACAATATTAGACTATGTGTCACTGTGACCATAAGCGGATAACACAAATATAAATTCATTGATAACCACAATGTATAAGCAAGGGACAATACTAAATTCTATGACTAATTTTTGGAATTTTTAGTGGGTTAAATGCTAAAAATAAAGATTATTTAGAAACATTGTTTTTTCTTTCTTAGCATCTGTTGTTGTTTAAGTGTAACCTTCACTGTTATCTTCAAAATTTATAAATTAAACTATTTATTACTTGTCAGTGCTAGAAATAAGGACTTACCATATATACCCAAATAAAATAAGTACATTATTTTGCCTTAAAATACCTTCTGACAGCATTCATACACATTTATGGTACCAAAATTTTGTATTTTCATGCACTACCAACTCCACAAAAACATTACTACTGTAGATAACTATCATAATTAAAAGATGTTTCTTATCTTACATCAGTTACTTTGTAGAAAACCATATTGTTAACTATATAACAAGAAAGTGTTGTATATTTACAGTTAAATAAAGTAATCCATATTCCTCACATGTATTGCATGTGCAAAGATGGAAATAAATTATAGCAGTTATTTGTGTAACATTTAGCCCATATAGTATTATTTTGAATTGTTTTATCAATTTAATAAAAACCATAATTTTGGATTTCCAATCTTAATGTAAACCATCTTTAATTTTTCATATCACTGAAACATTTATTTCATTACAAACATTTATAAATATTAAACATGAACAAAATTCATTGTACAATTTAGCTGCTACATTGGTGTACTGGCAAAAGAGAGACATTTTTAATTCAAAGCACATTTATTTTTTATGTAAGGGCTATCCAAAATATATTTCCGCAAGAAATTTGAAGTTAACTTCATGATAACAATCCTTTTCCTTATATTTTGTGTATGAAAAGATGAAGTGGAAATTACTAGATTAGTAGGTTCCTTAATATGCCTATTTATCGATTACTGAACCTACAATTTACTTTCTTCTCTTTGTCTTCACTGTTTGACATCCATTCACCAGCTGAAGCAAGAGACACAAAGAAATTGGCAGGTACAGTAAGCTTTTGATGGCAAAAATAGTCTAGAGTTGGACTGTTCCTACCCCCTTAATTTTAACAGTGAAGTTTATATATTATATCTCACAGATAAACGTCCTCCTGACTGATCTACATAGGCCAGAAAATCCAGTACTCAGAGTCTACAGGTCTGGAATACCTTAGTATACAGATTCAACAAAGTAGGTGTCTCCTTCCTTTTTTACCTGAAGATGAAGTAAGATTCATACTTTGAAACATAGTGACTTTTTCAGGTTATAATATTTTTATGACTTTTTAATACAAAACAGATGACAGATAATGTCCAAAACGAAAAAAGTGATATTATAATGCCATCATTTATTTTCTTCATTATGTCTGTATTTATTTTTGAACTCGCTGATACATGTATCACTACAGACAATCTTGTAGGTTGAAATGAAGCTTACTGAAAAAAGTAAAAGGGAATATAAATTACAAAATAAAATCTACTGTATATCAAAGGATTGTATATTGTATTAATTTTCTTGTAGCTTAATAACATTTCTAGCTGGTAGTAAACATGAGGAAATAATCTATGTACACAGAACAAACATGCCATTTGCTTCTGTTTTTGAGACTGGACAGCCATGGCTACAATACAGTGATCACACTGTCTAGGCTTTAATTCCCTGGCAATATCAGTTTCTCCTAGGACACTAATTCTTATACTCCCTTCATGCATGTTTTTCTGGTCTGTCCATAATTATGTCAATATTAACTTACAAATTATTTTTGATTACTGGCATATATTATCTATTCAGTAGTCTTCACTGAAGATGACTGTTTTCTGGGATGCTGTGCTATGTATTCTGGTAGAAGTTACTGATGTTTCAAAGGTGCTTGCTACCTCTATCATCAAGATGAGTAAACTCGTTTTGATGATGGAAGCAAAAAGCACCTCTGAAATGTCAGTAAATGTCTACCAGACTGAAAGCTTTAGCAATCCAGTGTTTACTCTTTCTTCTGCTTTCATTTCATAACAAAAATGCCTATCAATCTGAAACCTGAATATGCCAGGGAAATCATTTATAATAACATGCTTTAAAACTTCTTATTTACACATTAGAGCACCAGAAATCCAAATCATTTTTGGAAAACACTCGAGTCACTGGAAAATTCATTCTGAAAGTCCAGCCTCCTTATATTAACTTAATATGGTAAAAGCTACAGAAGAGATAATATTTTACCATGTATTGTTTTAAACACATTCTTTGTGCTTGTTCCAATATTTTGGTCTTCAGAAAATTGATGCTGAAACTTGACATACTATTTTTTACCACATCATAAATATAGCTTTGTACTATACAATATACATGGAAAAATATTTTAATCGTTCAAAAATATGTTTATAATTTTACATCATCATGCTTTGTGCAAAACAAGATGTATTGAAAAAGAAATGGAATAAACATATAATTATATACCAAATGAAAGCACAGCTCCACGTAAAGGCTGCCATCATTTGGGTGTGAGGAAAGTTGACCCAGGAGGTTGATGGGGTGTGGGAGAAGAAGAGCAGCTCCTGCTGAGCCCACGTGAAGGTTCAGTTAGTAGGAAAGATCCTGAACTATTCTCAGCATGATGACCTGTATGATGGCGTGATTCTCCAGGTACCGTAAGAGATCTGCTTGATTCTGAGATTGTATCATTTCCACTGCCTGCTGGTTCAGATGGTGTGGGACATCTTCGTTCACAAGGTGCAACCATTCCATTGAGCGCATGCATCGGTATGCGATATAAACGAAATGGCCTTACTTCAGGTGAAGCTGAAAATATTAATTTTGAATGTTATTTAAATTTAAGTCTCATTGCAATAATTCAATGAACCATATTTTGACTTAATTTGCGTATATACATTCATTGTATAAGATCAGAAAGGCGAGGGATCTTAAGGAAAGAGGTTGCAGGGATGGGAGATGGATGAAACTGGCTCAGGATCACAATCAATGGTACATTTCAGTACTAAATATGCCTATCCTTTAGGATGCTGAACAAGTGCCATACTTACAATGTGGGGAGGAAGGTGGTGAGATGCTGGGATCCCTGTCTGGCTTGTCCACTTGCAACCTCTCAGCCTTGTTATGGAAGAATTCTGGAGCCGTAGTAGCGAAGAATATATCATTCTGGTAAAAGCAGAATACATGACAGCAACATGCTCGAAATCATAAGTAGCACTCACGCCGAATGTTCTATTTAAAAAACAACCCTAAATACAACACATAATATCTTTATGCACAAACTGAGGAAACCAATGGCAAAATTGAAATATTGTGGCCGCATCGTGTCGTTGAAGCCGATGCATAGCTTGACAACTTCCAATAGTGATACCAACAAAAATATTTATCAGCATGACAACTTGAAAAAGTTATCATTGCCAATTCCTGAACGTGTATTAAAATATATCTCAGAGAATGGACAACGACCAAAATAATTGTATTTGTAGTGTAATGTCAGTGAATATGCAATTCTGAACTCTTTTTTTACATAAAAACTTCAATGTTCTTACCTTGGAACAAATGAGGGCCAGTTTAGGTAGCACCATGGTCTGAACCAGGTTTCCATTGATAATGAGACGGATCTCCATTGAGTCAGTTGTAAAGGCAAAGATGTATGGGAAGGCACAAACTACAATAAAATAAGTATTCTTCTTAATATAATACTTCTCACTAGTCAAAGGCACATTAAGGAGGGAGAACAATAAGTGTATATTTATTAATGTCAAATAAGTAAAGATTTGTAATATCTATTTTATGACTGAAATTTCCGCAGCCTTACAATATTATATAAAACTATGATTATGGTATTTTTATCCCTTAGAGACAATCTATTTGAATACGTACCAATAACAGAAGGTACAGAATTCCAGTGAAAATCAAATTCTGTGTTGCTAGTACTTTCTTCTGAGAGTTTCTGAAAGTGACAAGTATCTGTAAAGCAAACCAAATTTTTGTATAAAAATCACGTAATTAGACAAAGCAGTATTTATAAGAAAATGTTAGTTCAACTAATAGCAAAACATAATAGTGATATATTAACATGAAGTTATAGAAATGAAAAAGGGGTAGAATTGATAAAAATGAAAACTTTAGGAACCTCAGCTGGACATACATGGGTAAAACACAAGGAAATCCACTGAAATATTCAAGTAATTTTGTAATGTACAGTGAGATGAAATGATATCCCCTTACACAGTATCAGAAATTTACAATTTCTGATGAAAGGTTTTTATGAACTTGAGATCTTTCACCAGAATGTTCATGGATTGATGTAGGGCCTTTATGTTAGTGATAAAAATTTAAGTTATTGAACAGCATGAACTTTCCTAATCAGATGGATACCTATGAACAGTTGAAGAAATTTCTTGTGTTGTGGACTTGGTTGTTTATGAACAAAAATTTCAGTCACATAAATTTTAAAACAATTGCAATGATACGATTCAATAAACTGTTCCTGGTTACAAGCAACATTATTTATAAAGAAGAAACTTACTCTGCTTCAATCAATAGTAGTGATACGTATGTATTGTATATTATTTATGGTATGATTTTTATTTCAATGCTTGTGCAATACTTATGTGTTAAGTCACTTATCACTTTAAGATTAATTGGTTATTAGGTTACTTAATGAAGCTGCTTTCACTTAGAGAGTACACAGCATCAGATGATATGGTAAGTTGATCATGAATATGCAATAAATATGGCAAGATTTATGGAACGAGGCTGTTATGTCTTATTAGAAGGTACTATCAGAATTTGTCTATATATACTGAGGTAAATAATAATAACTCAACTAGGATAGCCAGTATTATGACTAAGATTCAAATTATGTACTTCTTGATTATAAATCTAGAGAATATCACGTATACCAACCAACTCAGTGGAACTTACTGAAACCAGAGACTTAAAATTTAAAGCAGTTTATCTGCATCTAAACAATTCACATATGCTCTGATAACAGAAGCAGAAGGAGTTTCTGATACAATATCTTATTACTGGAATATTACTGAATGAATGGAAGACCTACGATTATAGCAAAGTAGTAGTTCTGGTTCTTCATCTTCGTAGAGATCAATGGCTGCAACAAGATGTGCCCGACTGCCTTCCACGGCATGCAGCCGAGACACTTCACCGGTGCGCTCATTCACTAGGTCGAATTGATGACGATAACCTACACAGATGTGATTGTCTACAATACCACCACCTGATGAGCCTGTGAGTGATGAGTCAACTAATGTGATCAGAATAGGGGGCTCTGCCACCTGTATCTCCTGCAAGACACAAAAAGAAGCTACTGCAGAATAATCTCCTGAACAGTTTCAATTATGTAAGTAATTTAATTATTACACATTTGATTAATGCTAATGACATGACGTTCAGAATGGTGTATAGTCTGTTCATCACCCTAATGGTGCAGGTAGTCAGCACCTCTTAACATCAATCAGCTTCTACCAGACTACAAAGTACAACATCCCAGAAAATAGCCATATTCAAACTCATCACTACAAGAACCTGAAGTCTAATCTAATAGTTATAGTTCATTTGTACTAGAACAAGCAGCCACCTCAGCATTAGTCATTTTGCATCTTCACACTTTATGGATAAGAAAGGGTGACCAAAGGCTTATGTATGACATAAATTCGTAAACTTCAACTCTGTCAGACAAATACACAAGGGACGTAAGGAACTACAAAGACTGGTACTAAGAATTACACTTACGCGGATATACTGGAACCCATCAATAGTGTCTGTGTCACTGGCGGGACACCAGGCTGTCCATGCTGCAGAATGGCGCCACTGCATTACCAACAGTTTCTTGCCAATTGCAACAACCTGTGAAATGAAACAATATGGTTGCTTTAGGCACTTACAAAGCCACTGTTTGACTGACACATAAAAGATGAAGGTGATACAAGAATTGTAACAAGCACAACAAATATCATTAACTAATCATAACAGCAAGAGTAAAGAGTACGTTATTTTCACCATTCATATTTATGCATTCTTTGAACAGAACATATAAAAGAACATACAGTCCAAACTTCTACCTTGAAAATAGAAGTAGTATATTCTCCCAAACAGTTGATAACCATCTACAATACTACATTTTGTCACAATTCAGAAAGCTGTAATATGACTCACCTCTGTGATAAATTTAAATTATGAGAACCTGTGCATCTCATCTCCCACCCAAGTTGGAGTTATAAAAAAGACAGAAAATATGAAGGATTTTGATAATTTCATTTGGTAACCATTTCACAAAATCAGTTCTAGTTGAATTCTTTGCACGAAGTGAATAAAAGGAACCCCCAATGGGAAGGTTAGTCTTACTATCCATCAGCATATTTCATTCTAAAACTACTGAATAGAATTCAATTAAATATGGTATTCAGGACCTACATTAATGTGCAAATTTTTGTAACAATTTTCTTATAAACAGTTAATAAAATAATGTATAAATCTCATGCTATGCATTGTGTCTGAAACATTTTTCAGTATAATGTATATATAATAAAATTCAAGGTAAAATAATTTCTGACCTTGTGCATTGTATCTGTAGTGTGATTAGTTTTGTAACAGAGAAAAAAGAGATTCCTATATTGGTGTTGGCCTGCCAAAGACTGCTGTACTACCGGGAATTTAGAAATTCATTCACCATGAGTAAATTAATGAATAAGGGGTAGGTAAATAACTATCAACAGTCTCTAGTGTGTTTCTTTCAATATTTAGCTTCTGTATAATCTTGCACCTTAAATAAAGACAAAAACTTTGTTTTCTAGGGTCTTATACCCACTCACCATCCTTAGGTGGGAGCCTCCAGGCCTACTAATGGCATACATGTGGCAACCCCGTGTCCTCTCAAGACGATGTTCTTTCAGGTCTTGGCGTCCACGCGCAGAGCTCTCTGTACTGAAGTCCCCGTCAAAATCTGACAGGCGAAACACATGAATCTTACTGTCTCGACCTGAAAATTGTAATGTACGTTGTTATGTAAGACTAATAACTGTGATCATGTGTCTCTACAGTTAGATGATGTTGGATATTTGTAAAATTTTATCTTTTCATATTTATAATTTCATAGTACTGTGTGCTTAAAGTTAGGAAATGTTCGTAGTTCTCTACTGTTGAATGGAAAGTAAACATACAGGTAAGTTTGTGGTCCACACAGGTTGAGAGCCATATCTAACTGAAGTTTTACAATAACATTTAAGAAAAGAGTAAAGATATATTTCATGTTTCACATACTTATTACGAGTTATAAAAAAATGACAATTATTATTTTAGCAAAACCTAAAATTATAATCCAAAACTATTACTATAGCTATGACTGTAATTATGACTATAGTCTAATAAACTATAATTCACTTTCATTACCTTTCAATGCTAAGATGGTAATCTTAGCATTGAAACATAACCAATTATACTGCAGGCCAGTGTGAGTAAAAGAAACAAAAAATTTGGTTTTGTATGGGTGGAATTCTGCCATAGATAAGAAAGCAATTAGAACATTTCAAAATTACCTTTATCTGCTCGGAACAGCAAGATACCATGTGCTTCTACTACATGGAGCTGTTTGACAGCAATGGTTTTGTCAAACACCAAGCGATGTGACATACTCTCTGTAAACAAATTCTCTGTATAAACATTAATTATGAATATCCTACATAATTATAACAAATTATAACCAAACACTAAAATATTGTATCAGTAATCTCTAAGATAATCATTATCAAATAAGATAAACATTTATGGCTTGTGAACTTAAAACATGAATAAAGAATGTACAAGATAAAAGATTATACACAAACCTGGCGTTTCAGGATCACGAAGACAAGGGAAGCTCGTTAGCCTTTGCAGTTCTACTTTTGTAACTTGTTCAAGAAATCATGTTAATTATGTAATTGTATATTGATGAATTAACACAATTAATATCTTCAACCCTACAATTTTTCACTTAATTATTCTAAAACTCAAGTTTACTACTTTACTAATGAGAAAATTATTGAATTTATTTCTTATGAACTGAAATGTTGACTTCAGTTGAAATCAAAGTTTAGCACATTTTTTACTTTACTCACTCATTTACTGAATTTCTAAGTCCTGAATTAATTCTATGATTAATCTCAAAATAAAACATGAATTTTGGTATTAGCCACAAATAAACACAGTGTCTACAAAGTATAAGATAATATAAAATAACATATAACAGAATTGCTTTATGTTAGCAAGTCATAAGCAGTGTACATAACTTCTAAACAGGAGCTATAACCATACTATTAACTGATCGAAACTTAAACACAATGTAAAATATTAATTGTATTTTCCCCCTAATTTTGTGAAATAATTGTAAATAGTTTTAGAGCTTTAATATAGTATATATCAAGATCAAGTGATGAAAAAAAAATATCACATTTTGAATGGGATTTAAACCTAAAACCCCAGCATTTGTTTTGGTCCAAGACTATCTGTGTCTTAAGTATCAAGATTACTGAGATTAGCATCACTTTTATTACAAATCAGATTAACCTAACATAGCTGCCTCTAGAGGATAAAAGGACCACACATTTTCAGGCCTTTTAGTGGCAATACCTCATAAACATTGCCTCATGTAATGCACTCACCTTCAACAAGAAAAACACCAGATTCAGTGGCAACTAGGAGTCTGGTCTCACCCCATGAGTCTCCACAGACAATCTCATGTCCAAAGTCAGGGTAGAAGCACTGTGGCTCCCAAGGGGCTCGTTTGAAGAGGCCAGTAGTGGCGAGACTGGTGGGAGCATCACCTCTCACAATGGTGTCCAGTTTGAGGGCCTGCCCAATTCGTACAAACTCCACCTGGCGCGCCTCCTCTTTCCGCCGTGACCCACGCGGAGGGTCAGGAAGCACGTCACTGAATGCCCTTCGGTTTAACATTGTCTGGAAAGTTTGTTCTTTGCAGTTAACATTAACATTACGAATGTAAAACAGACAGGACAAAAGGTTTGTAAGAAGAAAGGCTTTGTTTCAGTAATGAGAAAAATGGCTCAACTGAAGTACTGTCACTTTGTTTCAAATTTGTTATTTATAATTATCCTGTCATTCACACTATGTAACATTTACAGCTGACAGAGTATTGTAAAGAAAACCAGGAAATGCACAAGTTTCCTAAATACTTGCAAATTATTTATTTATGGTCATAATGCAGAAAAACATAAGCTGTTACTGATGTCACTATTATGTGTATAATGACCATATCAGTCAATAAGCTTGGTTTGATTTGATCGGAGACTACTTTACAGCAGTGAATATACCTACTTTGAGTGATTATACAAACAAGTTCATTATACTCTCATATAGCTGTTAAACTTTTGATGAAGATTTTATCAGAAACTGCAAGTAACTACAACCTGCAATTGGCTTCTGCACATAAAAATGAGAGGACATTCTTTTCAGTCTTTAACCAGAAGTACACAGAGATAGAATTATCTGGATATGTAACTCACAGGAACTGAATGTTTGGGAACAGAAAAATTATAATCTTCTTGAACTTAATTTTAAATATTAGGATCACAATTGTGAAAGTTACCTAAAGCATAAGAACATCTAATTCTGGCTCTGCAATTAAGGAAAAAGCACGTCTCCTTACCCCTCTCCCATCATTCATATGCTCTGAGAATAAGTCCTTGATCAGCATGTCCAGTGTTCGCTCCCGCTTCTGAGAAAATGTCGGAGTGTTGAACGCAGCCTTCTCCCCATTTATCACTGTCAGAAACAAGACAAAGAAATTAAAGTTTAGGCAATGAAACAATTTATAACCAGTTCCCTATGCCTAGATTCCACAGTTTCTGCTTTCTGTGTGATAAATGTTCAACTGCCTCCGTGTACTGGGGTGTAAAATTGAAGTATATGTACAGGCAAATGACTAAAATGCAATGTTTTCAAGTGCCTATTGCTTGTTAATGTTTCCACTTAAGACAGAACAGTATATTGACTATGTCAATTATTCATGCATGTCAAATGGGTAAATAATTTAGTTATTGTGCAAATATGCATGATATTAGCAGCATTTTTTTAATAAAAAGAACCATTGGTGAAATTAACATGTTATTTTATGGCTGAGTTTATTTATGTAGATTTAAATAAAAATAGATTTGTAACAGGATAACAGAAAACTCTAAATATAACAGCAATCCACGTTCTCAAAATCCCCATGTTTCTAATTTTTAACTGACACTACATATACTTGTCATTAATTTGACATAATATGGATATGTGAATTTCTAACTTACGTTTGACTATGAGGAACTCGCGGAACTCTTGTGAATCCCTGAAGACAGGTGGACAGGGAAGAGATGGACCAAACAATGGGACAGATTCTTCTGAGTAAACAGCCAGCCTGTAGCTATTGTCTTCAGGAGAATATGTTACAAGAGCAAACACATCTGGTAGCAAGTTAAGGAAACAGAAATAATAGAATTATTCTTGTAGAATTGAGACACCAGTCCCCATACATTATCAACTGTTTGTCCTTGTATATTGGTATGCATAATGTAGCCATTAGTGTTTGTGAAACAAAAACTTGGGCATAACTTAGAAAGTAAAAATGAAAAAGAAACATGCATTAGATACAGTCTGTCCTATTTTTTAGACCTAAGTAGTGTCAAATGAATGCACAGTAGGTTTGGTCAAATCATGTAGCAGACAGTAGGGAAACAAGATGCGTGGGATAGTCAGGCATGAGTCGAGCGAGTAAAGTTAGCTGCAATGTGTCATTTTTCTCCTTATCGGTTTATCAAGCTGATGTAACAAGTTCCAACTGAATAGTCTCTCCTTTCTTGCTGTATCTCTCTAGTGGCCATGGGTATGTTCCTTTTGTCTCTCTAGCTTTATCCACACCATCATCTATGGTCTGGTTAAAAGATCAAATAACATTTCTCTTCAATGCAAAATGTAGAGGAATTTGATTAAACATTTATGTAATGACCTTTGTCCTGAAGACAATTATAACACATGATGACAGGAAGGATACGTGTGAACTGTGACTTGATGAAGGATGGGTTAAACTGGTTCATCTGACTAGCGCCACTGTCCAGGAACACGATATTCACGATGTCATTTCCTATGTGCCTCTTGCGTTCAACCTGCATAACACAAACACATATCACTACAGATAAAATACAGAGTGATCGACAAACCCTCCCACTTCATAAAAATTACAGTATGTTTATTTATGTATTAAATGTAATTTGTGTTTATTATGAGTCAGTTGTTTTGGGCAGATATTTGACCTAAATGGAAGAAAATCAAGTTTTCATGTGATATACTGATTAATGTAAGGAACGGAAGTAAAAATAAGTTAAATTCTTATCTCAGAAAGAATATTCCTGATTTTCTGTACGAAAATAGAAATTATTTCTGCAACACATTATATAATGTTATATCACCTGTTGTCGATTATCTTTGGAGTATGGTAGTAATGTTGATACATGGAACATTATTTCATGGCCTTCATAGATGGTATAGATGGAGAAGCGTCCTGTCATATCACCTGGGAATTATAACAATCATAAATATGTTGTTCGCAGAAGTTTGAATTTAATAGCAGAGCTACACTTCAAACATTGGTTCATATTAATGCTGTCAAACCGTATGCAATGCATAAGCGTAGACTTTGAAGGATCTGAAGTGGTTCGTAAAGTACACTTATGCACGGGTGTAAAACGAAAGTGTTTGTCTGACAAGTGTCTACACGTTCTCACTCTTTTTAGTTTGTATTGCATGTTTATACATTTGATCACACAGTGCATTGTTGATAGTTTGTAAATGGTTTGTTAATAAATTCACAGTGTGTGAGATGGGATAGCTCAGTCAATAAAATGACTGGCTATGAGATGGATTATCAGGTTAGATTCAAGGTAGAAAATGGACTTTTCTCCTCACAATGACATTCAGATCAGCAGTGGATCTTATTCATAGCATTAAAAATTTATGCAAGACAATAAATTATATAACTTATTGAAATTTTGGTTCCTAGCAAACATATTGCATCTCTAAAACAAACATTAGTCAGTTAATAATGTTTAGGAATATAAGCTCTACTGGTATTTATTCTGAATACCAAATTAACCAATAAATTCTCTGTGGACAAAATGAGTTAAAGGGATATTATTAAATACTCATAAATAATGTCTGAATAGAGAATATTAATTCGAGATTATTTTAAAAAATATTTACATCAAACAACTACTGTCGATGAAACAAAATCTACGTTTTGCCATTCAGTAACATAACTTGTGAGAATGAATGAATGTACCTTTGATATCAAGGCCACCTCTGTATTTATCCCAGCCTTTGAGTCGTACTTTGTCTCCCAGTAAACTGACGAACCGATCGAACTCAGGACTGCCTGCCTCTGTAACATAAACATGCAGCTGATGGCACAGTCATGCAGACACAGCTCCAGAAACTTACGATATTTGCATGTGGTCGAAAGGAGCGGATATGCCTCCTTCACTGCAGATAAAACCATGTGTACAACGCTGGCGAGTGTACCATGCTCGAACACTGAGTACATTCCTTCTTTGGTAACATATTTACTGTGTGTGTGAAGAAATTCGGCACCTTTTATAGAACCTGAGCATACTACATAAATCCTATCAGTGGATTCTATCTTGAAGTAGTTAAACCCTGTTATGAACCATTTAAAAATTGCATTTCCATCTACAACTAGATCTTGCAAATAATTTTTTTAAGATTTTTTCTCCTCCTCCTACCCATATCATGTTTTATTTCTCTTTAATATTTTGTACTGTGCTAGTACTATTTTACCTTGCGATGTCAGTCGATTTGTCATCTGCCTGTGACACCTTCTGCAATATATTTGCAGTTGCAGTATGACTTAAAGGTCTGGTACAAATTTGAAAGTGGGAGAGGGGGAAGACCTGAAATGTCACCTACTTGAAAGAGAATCAATGATGGGGTCTCATATAAATATGAACACTATACACACAAATATGATGAGCGATCAGAATGTAAGTTTACAAAGCTTTTTTTTAAAGGATTGACTGAATAAATTAGGGTAATACAACGTCAAGGTAGAGAAAATAGCAGAATGAGGGGAAAAATACATGATTCTTGCTCTTCATAAAATGTAATCAGGTCAGCCAAATTAGAATGCATGGAGATGAGAAATACATAAAAATTATAGCTAGAATATCTGAAACAAAGATAAAGTCCTAGACTTAAGGGTGGAATATGGAATAAGATCCTGTGGCATGTTGCTTTTAAAACAGTGATAAATATCCAGGTTCCATAGAAAGTGTGAAATTTCTTGACCAGCTGAGTGGTTATTTACTTCTCAAGAAGAACTGTTTCGTGGCGGTTAGTATCAGCTTCTCTGGTAAGCAACGGACAAGGGGGTTAAGTATTGTAATCTGAAGTAGAAGCTGAACTGGCTTAGAAGGAGACTTCATATTACCTTCGCGACACTTCACCTTACAATGAAGGTTCATTATTTAAAATGGCTGGAGAAGGTGCACTGACGACCTCTAGTGCATGTACTCACCATTGCTCAACATCTCGTCGTCACTAGTCTGCCCCGGACGGGTATACAACACGCCGAACTTGAAGTTGACAGAGCCTTCCTGTTCTTCAAGAAGCAACAAATCCTACAAAAAAAAAGGCTATGAACAAGAGGAGAAACGGTCTATTCGATTATAGTACACATATCTACATCTCAATTAATTGCACGAGGATTTATATTAATAAACAGGAAAGAATGTGAAATAAGCGTTCGTGGCCTATTTAAAGATGTGGTGAGGGCATTTGGTAGCTGTGCCGCTAGGTTTAGTAATCGCGGCAACCGACGCAGTGATTGCGCATAGGGGAAACGAAGTGCCGTGCCGTCAGCACATCCGCGAAATATCTTCACTGTTCTGTCTCACTAATTCGTGAGTATTTGTGAAATACGTTAGTCAAATATGTGCTTTGAAGTACATACAGAACCAGTCAGAGTTGGAACGCTCCATTTTATCAACAGTCGACTCAGTGTGTGGCGACCACGAACCACCACCTTCTACATTTTATGTACTCGGCTGCTACAGACGTGATAATGCTCAGGCGATGGCGCGAAATTGCAGCAAAGGAGGAGACTCAGAAGCCAATTTCTTAAAAAATAAACTATTTCATTTACAGATTTACATTATGTTAAATAAAATTCAGATTTTGTAAGAATTCTTTCATTTGATGTATTATATTTCTTTCGTAATTTAATAATATCGTGTTGAGTTATAACTTAAGTGGACATTTACCCACGTCTGTTTCTTTTTCTGTATTATCCGATTGTCCTTCGACTTAATTTACGTCGGACAGTTCGGACTCTACTGTACAAAAGAAATGTAAATTTTCAGATGGTTTACCTTTTGGATTTCCGGCGTGAAGATCTCTTTTGGTCCCTTCTCCACCTTCTCCATATTTGGAAAATTGCTGAGGCATGAAAAAAATAAGACAATTGACGAATGAAGAGAAGTCACTGCTAATCTAAATACTAGCTTCAACAAAAAAGTGAACTGTATAAAATTATGGAAAAGAATACGGCATTTCTATTAAATTTAGTTGAATATAAGGACAACAACAACAATTATACTGCTCTATAAATAACTGGAAGTTTATTTCACAGCTAACAAATTTTTACATATGAGAGACCATTCAAGAATGACGAGGACTCTTAAAAATGGAGATTATTAAATAATTTTAAAAAGTTTTAAAAGTTTTCTCAATTAGAGTTCTGATCTTCCAGACCTTAAATACATAAATAAATAAATAAATGGTACAATCATTATAATATGTGACGTGAAGCTATACTGACAAATTCTTTTGGACATTAATTAATTTAAAACTTACCACAATATCTGTTTCACCGTCATCGCCTTATTCGGGGTATAGGGTATTGAAATCTTTTGAGCACCCTGCAAAACGAAGGCGGGATTACAATATTACGTTATATAATAACCTTAGCATAAGCACAAGGATATATCATAATTTTTATTCGCATTCGTCCTAACATTATATTACTTAAAATAGTCAACAATCCACACATTACATTTTACAGTAAAACACACTGAACGGGACATAAAATTCGGGAAAGCGTATGTTGTTGTTATTATTCTGAGAGTTTATTTCGGTATGTGAAGTGCATAGTTGGTACCATCCACCATGAGATAAAAAATCTTATTGAAAACAGTAATCTCTTCAAACCTGAAGTATCTGGCCGAAACAAATCTAAAACTCCAAAGTGAAACCTTACATTAGTTACATGATTATGTAAAATTGTGTGTGTATGTACAAAACTATTTAATGCATATAAGACAGTGAATGAAGATTTATTATACTACTTTGTAGAATCGCATCCAAATGCTCCAATCTGAAAGAAATAAAGTTAGTCAAAGTGACGACTATAGTGGTCTTCGTATTGTGACGGAAGCATAAACTTTCTTGAGAAGTTGATTGTCAGTAAATAAATTCCCTGCCTGTTATGAAATCTGAAGATTTATTACCGTGTCCACAAGACCCCGCTAACGGTCCCTATCCTGAGCAAGATTAATCCAATCCGAAATTATTTTCTAACATTCGTATTAATTTAATATGTTCTTGAATTATTCGTGAATGCAATTTTGATTTTTTACTATCGTTCATTTTAATTCTGCTACATTTTAGAAATTTCCTATCAACTGTCTTTATATTAGGTTATATTTTGTTATGCATTCTGATATTAGTGTCTGAACATATTCATAGTTTTCTTTGCCTTTATTTCCAGATACCTTACTTTATTACTACGTTACATTTAAATATTTATGCTAAAGACTTTATAAATACACAATTAGATCTCGTCATGTTCCTTACTGTAGACAACAATGGTATGTTATAGACAAGCACTGAAACATATATATTTTGAATGTGGTCTCTTCGAAACTGCTCCGTATAGCTCGTGCGAATCCACCACTTATGAAGATGAAATCAACTTTCCCGATGAGTTAGAAACGCCTGCAACATCATGACTAGACTACACGCTTAACATTGGAGTCGGAGAAGTTGCCGCATTGTCACGGCGATGTGTTAATATTGGCTTTGAAATCATATCATCAAGAAACGTGCAGTTGCTGTTTAAATGACGTGTACGTATAATTTTTGAGCTACAAGACTATGCACTATATTTTCAATTATACATCTTCAGTGTATCTGTATACGGAATAATAAGAACCTTCTAACTTTACATTCCTCGTGTGTTTAAAGTTACTAGATACTAGATATTCTGAACACGAGAAACAAAAAAAAGTTGGTAAGAATAATGATCGATACGTTACAAAGATCCAAAATATATAACCCAGATACATACAGCCTATTAAAATTACAAATAACGTGATCGAAATAGATTATGAGCTACAGAGATAGAACTTTTACGGCGAATAACAAGAAAAATCCTACTCGATCACAAGGGGGAAAAATAATAGACTTCAGTTTTCAAAGACGGTAAATTGTTTATCGTGTTTTTCTGGATAGTAATATCGTATAGTGTCGTAGGTGATTATATGCTTATCGGAGGAACACATCACCTTCATGTTCAGTGTAGAATCAAAAACATATCGCGTCCCTACTCAGAATAGAACTCCGAAGACGGAAGTAAAATGTTTAACGTTGGGACCCCCCATGCGACCGCCTAGAAGACCACAATCCACAGAAGTGAAGGACATAATAACTCCGAAATGAATGTTTAGAGGAAGCAAATTCAAATAATTGGTTGAAACATGTCAACAGAACCGAACACTACACGTTCTAAAAATAAATCCTGAAATACTTCCCAATAGGAAAATGACGACATGAACTCCGACTTATGATAGTAGGATGAAATAAAATCAAAGGCCGATATAAGCCACACTTAAACGGCCAAACGTCGTCATGGAATGTGAAGCTGGCGATTAATTTCAGCGATGCACAGCTGCTGAGACGTAATCAACAAACGTTATTAATCTGATTGTTGAACACGGGCTCTACCACGTTATAAAAATAAGTATTTACAAATAATACAATTATTGTACAAAGACAAATCGAATGTTTACTAGAAACTCACGCACATTCATTTTAACATGATAGTGTCAATTACGAATTTAGATGCTCTCTAACGTGTCTTTGTTACGACAAATTAATGTACACGAATTCCATTGTTCTTCTGTAACTCTGTAGAATTGATTCTGCTGTGCAGAAACCGATATGTAACCACGGCCCTTTCGGGCATATCTCGCACGAATCTTTTAGCATATTAAGTGCTGAAACGATATATTCAGTTTAGAAATAGTATTATATTCAGCTCTGATTTTTGTAATTTTTGTGTCAGTGGAATTACGCATTTTATATCATCCAAAAGAATTGAAAATTTAATATCGTCGTCTTAATCCTATTTTGAATTCGTAAAATGCCAGAAATAAAGATGGAGTCAGAGACTTAAAGAAAATGGAATTAAATGAGTTTTCGTATAATTGTGGCAGGATATAGAACAACGGATGAAAAAAGAAATAAAGATATTAGAGAAGAAATAAATATTATTAATAGCAATAAGAAGGTAGGCGCACTGAGAATAGAAGATACAAGAATACGCAAATTTGTTAAGGAATATGAAACTACTGGGAAAATATAACAGAATAATAAAATATGGGAATTAATGCCTAAAGAATGAAAGAAAAGAATAATATATATTTGGTTTTTTCAAAAATGGAAGTCGCGAGTTACTACGGTAACATAAAAACAAATGTAATTTATGTGAAATATGATATTTTAATGGCGGTGACTATAATAATGATGTTTTTATCGATTTCTCGTGCCGCGAAAAGTTGTCGGTAGATGTAAAATGCCTCCATTGTCAGGGTTAGAAATGGAGAAAGAACGTTTTCCCGAAACGTTGCCATCTGCCGACCAGTGCACACGGCACCAAAACGCAGAAGAACGTCTTCAAATATAAATCATTTTTATAAACCAAAACTTGGCGTAGAATACGTAACATTTACGTCTTCGTGTCTCCGTTTATATCAATTGTTCTGACAGCACAGCGTCAGAACGACATTCGAACTTCAGAAGATTCATAGTTCTCTCAGAAAGCAGAACAGATAAAAGTAACATTTTATCATACATTTTCTGTGAACGTACAGAAGTTTGCATAATTTTTTTTACGGAATACGATGTTCATATTTCACTGTTACTTGTACTGTTTCCTGCAAACTGAATTTGTGTAAAGACCGGAAATAAAATAAAGCATTCATAACGAACGTTTGAAGAGTTTGAAATCTGAGGGCGGCTCCAGTTTACGTGAGGTACTTGGAAACAGAAGGACAGATAAAATAAAAAAGAAATTGTGAGAGAAAAAGAGAGCAAAACTGTGATTAATATCATGAAAAAAAATGTCAGCCTTATGAGTTGAAAGTTTCGTATGTACGACTTAATTTACTTTACTTAATTCAGATTAAAGGAGCTAGAATTAAATTATATTTAAGAAAAATTTCTACGATAATTTATATCTCACTTTACGATGCAACCGAGTTATGACTGCCTGCCTCATTTACCTTGGATTCAATAAGTGCTCTCAGATGGAACCTGGCATAATCCCTCACCAGTAAAGAACAAGGAGAGAGGATAATGAAAAAGGAAAGTTTTTGGAATAAAAAAGAGAAAAAGTAGGCCCAACGAAGCGAGGTTTGACTTCTGAAAAGTTTGGTCGTGCAATATGATAGACGTCTACCGACGTTTCATCTGTCCCTGATGACATCCATGACAGTATTCATAAAGAAAAATGTTCTTTGCTATTGGTTTGTTTTTTATATATTAAACTTTTAAGGTAACGGATTTCTCACGCTGAAATTTGTTTGAAGAAATTTTAAAAAAAAACATTTTAACACCTATTAAAATAATTTCTACATCTAAAAATACAGACATGTTTAAGAGTTGCAGGAAGTTAAGGGCAGTGACCTAACACGGCGATCAGATCTTTTCTAAACGACCACCAGAGGGCAGATTGACTTTCCAGTGATGTATGTGTCTGTAAACGAGCGACATCATGACGTGAGATCGGGGAATCGTGAGGTTCAGCAACTTCTTTATCTACTGAGTCTATCAGATAAATGACCAACCAGCGAACAATTTCACCAGTGATTTATAGTAGTCGGGGCGAATCTGTGCTTTCGACGACTATTAGAAATTTCAGCCAAGGGAATCAGAGGGATGGGACAGATAGCGGATAAGGGAGGATATACTGTTCATATCAAAAACATTATTTTCCAAAGGCAATACTTTACCTCGCTGTCCTAGTCACTATGTAGATAATGTCTTGAGTTTTATATAGCAAATGCATTTGTTTTCCTTATATCAGAAGGCGAAATGCACAATTTTGTCTCGAAAACGAAACTGTAATTAGTGCATCATTAACTTATCAATAGTATGTCATTTTTGTCAATTAAATAAATCTCGTATTCACCCACAGTCCTGTCTGTAAGCTGGTTAATGAATCTGTCTCACTAAAGACTAGCTTATTTATTAAGAAACTTAAATAATTATAAAATATCACACTTATAGAATCTAAAGGTTCACGGTCGGTATCACAAAAGCTTATTAAAAGACTCTAAAATCCAATTCAATAAAGTGCAAATCGAAAAAAACAAAGTTCTTGAAGTACTTATACTTCACACTATGTCGAGGTGCAACGAAGGATATTACAAAATATGTTGTGTGTCGTTTCCTTGAATCGTGCTGCGTGGTTTACCAATTCCAATATCACTGATTTAGTCATAAGTCATAGATAAAGGTATAATAAATTAGTACTAAAAATATATTAAAATTGGCCGTCAATCACAATATAAGATAATTAAAAGATTAAAATATAATTTTTCGTTCCGTATCGAGTACTCGTTTTACATATGGAACATTTACGACATGTTTCGGCTATCATAGAGCCGTCATCAGGTGTTATGTTATAAACTTTTTAATTGATTTACTGATTTTTAATGCTTTTTAGTTTTCATTTTTCTTATCATTTTCTCGTCCAAAATGATAAGAAAAATGAAAACTAAAAATCATTAAAAATCAGTAATTCAGTTAAAAAGTTTATAACATAACACCTGATGACGGCTCTATGATAGCCGAAACATGTCGTAAATGTTCCATATGTAAATCGAGTACTCGATACGGAACGAAAAATGATATTTTAATCTTTTAATTATCTTATATTGTGATTGACGGCCAATTTTAATATATTTTTAATACTATTTAATAAATCACAATATGACGCACCTACAATATCGTATAATAAAATATTAACCTATTCATTCTGTACTTTTCTTTCTATTTATTACTTATTTCTCGTTACATCAGCTCTCTCGGGTCCAGCTATATTCCTCAGTAATTTTGTTTTCAAGTGCCTTCATTCTACGTCCTCCTTCAGAAGCGGAGACGAAGTTTTACCCACGTAGCATTCCACAAACAGATTATAATTTTGTACATTTTTAACCTTTAGGAAACAGACAAGAAGATTTATTGTAAAATTGTGATTTCTCAGAAAACATGGTGTGAGGACGGCGTGGGAAATGTTTATGTATTAATCATGAAAAAAAATCATTTTGCAAGTCGAGTAGAAAGTAAATATTTGCTACCTTCATGCTTTGTTAACCTGTGTTTAAACTTCAAAGGTAGTGATCGAAAATTACTTTTTTATCTGTTCATATGAAGCAGACAGCTTAGTGAATTCGAGATGCGATCGCTTCCAAAACGCACCCACAACTCGGAAACATAAAGAAGTAAAACATCCATTACAGGAACAGGTGTCACTAAAACCAGAGTTTATTTTGTGAGGGACGAGTGAGGGAAGTTTATAATCCTTCCGTCGCTTTTGTATATGGAATTGCTACAGAATTCCATGCCCACACACATACAAACCGAACAGAGATGGAAGCAGAAAAGAAACAAACAAAGATAATGCTAAAATAGGAGAAACAACTGTCTCCATATTTTTAACTTTGTATATAAGCAATATATAATTCGCAGTAAATGTTACGAACTATCTCTGTACCAAATTTCGTATACACATTTTTCACTGCTTTAACATCTGTTGCCACAAACTACAAAATCTATTCCTTTCGCGTGGCTGCCATATTGTTCAACACTACAACACAATACTTTAAAATGACTTTTATATTTACCACATACAATTTCAGGATATTATATTAAGTGCCGACAGTGTTGTTCCTGTTTACGAAGTTCGCAATTCGCACGGACGCCATGTTGGTGTTATAAAAGTATGAATTAAAAAGTACATACCAAGTTCGTCAAAAATTGTCACTGGGTTTAAAATTTATTGATGGGTTTAATGAAAGGGGGTCATGATGACATCGTAATATTTTACCCTTAAATTCTACTGTGCTAACAGGACAAATGGATAATACACGTGGGCCTACAATACAATTCTTACCGTTTTCTTCCAGAGGATGGCGCGATACTGTGGAACGCACTGGTTGTTGGCGTCCGTGAGAACAACAGACAGGAAGAATGGTACCTTGTCGCCGTCTGAGCCGACATAGTTCTGGTGCACTGAAAGAAGTACATTAATGCGTTGTAACAACCCACTGAGCAGGGTTCTCCTTGAAGAGTCAATCCCCCTTCTGTTCGTCGGAAATTATCAGGGGGGGGGGGGGGGGGGGGGTTGTCGTTACCGTAGTCGCAACACCGGTCCCCACCTTGAGACACATAAATCCAGTCCACATCCCCACATTCTATTAACGAAGATTAATCTTAAATCCTCCCGGATATGCCTACGAACACTAATAATGCACATCTGTAAAGTCAGACAAGCGTAAGAAATCAGTTTCCTATAAATCAATAATCTTGTTGATACACCCTTCTGACATGATGCCCTCGATATCAACATTAATGACAATAATTATAATTGTTATTAATAAAATTTATAACTTTCTGTTGTTTTTAATTACACAGTATTTATTGTTGAATTCACAGAGAAATAGTATTGTGTACAAAAATGATGATGGCGTAGTGAAGCTGTAAAACACATTCGGGGACAATGCATCCGTGGACTCACGTTTTCCGAGAAAGTATTTGAAGTACCATCTGGTCTGGTACTCAGGGTTCTCGAGGACAGGCGTACTGGGCGAGCCAAATATCTGAAGCAAGAGAACAACAGACAATCATTAACATGACATTGTCAGGCCAAGAATGTGTTTCCACGCCAGTTGCCAAGTCGCAGGCTGGTCGCACACTGAAATGACGAGGAAAGCACCATTGATACGTAGGTTAAATTTTACCAGACTACACAGCGCAATATCTCAGAAGACATTTGTCTTCATACTCGCCGCTGTGAGAAAGTGAAATTTCATAATGTGAATGATGATTTTCTCAAAACAAATTCAGAGTAAAAATACCATTCTTCGCTCGGCGAGAGATGTTGTTTCAGACCCACACATGACATCCGATAAGTCGCTATAACTCGATGGAATATATTATTATTTGCGAAGTTAATAGCAGCTCAACTTATCAGGATATTCCCCACGTCTTATGAAAATACAAGGTTCATTACCGTGCTCAAAAGAATTTTACGGTCCCCCAGCTATGAGCAACATAACCCGGTCCGTTCCTCCCACCCAGTTCCTTTTATACGTCGTTATGAGAACGTAAACCGCTCCAAAACGTGTTTCATAAATGTTCAGCCAAAATATTTCATCTCGCTACCCTTATCAGGTTCTATTATTACATTTCAGTGCACAAAAGCATTTCATCTTTTGTTGTAGGCTTCCACAGGACCCATTTCAATAACGTTTATAACAAAATTTTAAAAACGTTTATTATACTCTTATAGTGTAATCACACCAGTGGACTTTAATGGATTTCATTTCTTATCTATAGTTAATATCATAAATAAACAGAAAACTTTTCGAAAGTAACGCCCAAATGGCTTTAGTGAGTGCTGTTGAATTTCTGCCATGTAACAATACTGCGGGAAGAACAATGAAATGTGATGGACTGCATAGAATGCAGCTAACAAAATCTATAAGAAGATAATCCAAATAATAAAAAAAAAATCAACAGGAAACTATCACAGCATACAAAAATGAGCTAATTACTAAGACAAAAAAAATTAAATAACATAAAAGAATATTTCTGGTACACGTTGTGAGGATTTCATTATGAAATAAAAGAATCCTGTGCCATCAGAACATTACCAGAATTTCGCGAAGTGCGAAGCTTCGCATACAATTAACTGGGTGTCACGCATTAACTGCATCCGGTCGCGACTGGCGTAATAATAAATAACGGAATCTCGTACGACATATTCAAACCTGGGCCACACATCATTCATTATTCGTATTACAATTGCAATCTAACAAGATTCCGGGCAGACAGCAACGGTTTGTCGGCAGTCTGAGACAGCTGCGTGACTGCGATCGAGACAGTGGAAGCTAGTTTAATCCAATCAATACCACAAATACTTAAAGAATGATGCAAAAATTTTCTAATAATGTCCTTTTTCGGTCTGTTACTCTTCAAAGATCCTTTAATGCCACTGTACCAACCACTGATGTCACTCATATTATGTAGATTGCTAATAAGATGTCTATTTTTTTGTTTTTCTTTTTCAGTTTTAAAATCTTCTCTTCTTCTTGGATGTAATCCTTAGAATTACATCTTTGTTTCGTAATTTATTTCACAGTACTGCATCCACTGTAAAAGTAATGTAAAACGAAGTGTAAGGATATTTTATAAGGACGAACTAACTGCATTGAGCACAAAATATCTGTTCTACAACGACATATAAAGCGCACTAAAATCATACATGTGTAAATACTATGGCCATAAAAGCCGGAACTGTGTTCATTTTCTTCACGATAAAAATATTATTCATCCTGGTATTAATCTTATCGACTGATGCGGCCATAAAGTATTAAGCAATATAAAATGTAACAGACAGCAAATATTATATAAATTAACGAGTAATTTTACACTAATGTTACACAGTAATTTGGGGGAGAATTATCTAATTTTAAACTAAATATGTGGTTGGTGGCAATTCTTAATGGGGAGAGACCAAACATTGTGTCTACCATCTGATATTTAGTATGGAAACTCAACTGACATGAAATTTAGAACTTGGTTTAATCTTCTGACGACTACGGCGTCTATTAAGATCAACAGTATTCAGTGAATAACTTTGTGTTTCCGATGTGTAAAAAAACTTCAAAACGGGACAAAATTCAAATATTACTATTTTTAATATGTTTTAATAAACATTTACTGTACTACAGATGATGTATCAATGGCTCGTTGAAATAAACGAAAGATAAAATCAGTCCATTTCCATATACTGCAGCAATAGGAACCTGAAATAGAATGTCTGCTGGATGAAGCCGTCAATGAAACAAGACTAGCGAAGTCTATTACAAAATGGAGTGCAAATTTTATACATTTATCCTCTGATCGTCTGCACAACTGTTTTACCTTGATGTTCAACAGTCTCGTACATTACTGCACAGACGATAACACTGAAGATAATTAAATTTATAGTTAAAAAAATATTTTCTTTAAAAATAATTGAAGTAAATTTGAGACTCTAATGCTGTCTGAAATTTACACTATATTGTATTATAATTATTTTGTATCATGGCCTGTCTTTTATGAGACAAATTTAAGATTTGAACTTCACAAATTTGGAATTTCAATGGACGCACATGGTCCAATATCAGACACGCCAAACAACGTTTATGGTAAACACCAAATAACATATTTCTTCGAATTCCACTGATTAATGCGAACAATTATGTAACAAAAGATTTGTGTCAGCAATAATATATTCGTGTTTACAATAAATAAATATCAAAGGCCAATGAGTAATACAAAAACGGAATTAATAAATTGGAAAATACGCCTACTCGACTAAAGTGAAAACTACAATAGTCTTATGAGCTGTATCAGCTGTGTAGTCTCGTAGGCAGTTACCGACGTTTCGGAGGAATGTCGACTCGATATTCAGGGTGACAAAGTGTATCTTTTTATTCTTCTTTTAACTGGCCAAGAAACTGAGACTACTGCTGACGATAAGTAGGTTATGCAGACTTTATGGGCCTTTAGTGAGATTTTACTTTCCGAAAACATCTCAAACACCCCCCAAAAATTTTCATTTTTGTTTCCCTGGTGTTGAGTCATCTTACTGATAAATGTTCAACTCCTAAGTTAGCTAGGATTTGAGGTTTTCACGGCGGTGAGTTTTAAGATGGCTGTCTTCTGGGTTGTTGCGCCGAGTAGTCTGGTAGAAGTTCACCGACGTTTCAGAGGTACTTGCTACCTCCATCATCAGGGCGAATAATTTCTCTACGAAACTGCGCTGTATGAGTAACATGCAGAAGAAGGAAACGAGTGATATATTTAGTACTCTAGCGTTACTCTCGATGTTTAGAAAACAGAGACAAATGTTTGTTGAGTCCCAAACAAACCACACAAAAATCACATTAAAATTTAATACTTTCTTTCATTTATGCAATACAAAAACCTCTATGTTCTGTTTCATGTTGTTTTATATAATTTAAATAAAATGTTTTCTTCTGAAGAGTCTAAACCCAAAAATGTCCATAATAGGTAACGTTTTGAAAATAATGTCCCCAAAATTTAATGATATATCAGCGCATGTGGAGTCCATGTTATTTTACTCCCTTGTAAGGTCAACAAGAGTGTCTGATGGAGTCCTTTCAGTCGTCGATTCTAATGTAAACTTCTAATTTTCGTACAAACATTCAACACTAGGAACAATGTGTACAAAGAAACGTAATTACAATTCCTTCATACACATTATTATGTTTACTGAATGAAAGCTTTACTAAAATAAAAATCTATACTATATTGTAATTAAAATTCTTCACACACGTCGCTCAGCGTACTGACGTTTCGAATGTAATCACGAAAAAATGGCATAAAATTAATTACGAAACGTCTTTATACATATAATATGCATACGAGTTACACGAGATATAGGTTATGTCTCAATACAAATAACTTCTAAAAATGAGAGAGATAAAAGAGAGATTTATCTCTAAGATTTGCACGTTATTTTAAAATTACGTAAAAAAGTTTTCAAGTAGTCGTCTCCCCTTATTCATCAGATATACATGATATATAATGTACGAAAGAAACAGTTTCACATCTCACAGACTTCGTGACTTAGTTCATGACACGTTACAAAAAATTCAGGACTAATAACCTCTAAGATGGCTATCGAAGGACTGGGTAAGGCGAGTGCTGAAAGACAGATACGTAATGTGTCCAAGGGGGCAAAGACTGTGTTTGATTGATTGTAGGCTAATGGGCCATTTTCGTTTTGGAAATTTACCAACTGAAATGAAAAAGTATGTAAAATGGAGAAAACTGGCTTTCTTGCTTAATGGTACTGAGTGTGAAAAAAGAAAACTGCTGATGACCTAATTCCTCTAAACTCTGTCTCTTACTTTCAACTGTTTATGCCTGGGGTCGACAAACATTTCGTTGCCGCGGGCAGCATTGCCTATTCATATCTTTGTCGAGGGCCGCAGAAAATATACGTCGAAGAAAGTAATTGATCGAATTGCCTATTAAATAACCTAACGAAGACTTAGTAGCAAACAATCTATATTTATGAAAGTAACAAATAGTAAATTCAAACATGACATGACACTTAAACCTATTCTCGTTAAGATATATGACCTCGAAGTGTTTACAATTTTTGCACGTGAAGCCTAAGTTATGAATAGCTAACAACGTAGAAAGAATGTGCGAGCAATTTATATGTATCGGGGTTTACATCTCAACATCAGATACGAATCTCCAATAAATTACCATAAACGCCATAATGTATGTATAACAGTACAGAAAGTACTTAGAAAAGAGACCTTATATTCCCACTTATTTATGATCAGTCACGTAAAACTCTTTTATTAAAATGTATTAGGTATTCAATAGATGGACATAATTAATTGAGGAAATATTTAAATATAACGTCTGTTTGATGTTCCCATCCACGACCTTAACAAATTCTCCATCCTTTCCAGTAGATTGCCCTTTGCACCAGTCATCATTTCAGCGTGTAATGAAGTGCTTGTCTGGTCTGAAACTTTGTCTCCATTATTCACAGCTGCTCTAACAACGGATTAACTCCCGCCCAAGTTCCACCCATTTGCACTTCTCGTGACACTTCCGCCTTCACAGTTAGTGCGTCAATTTTTCACCAGATCCTTCAATACCCACACACTTCTGTATATTGAGGGGGAAAAGCTATCTTCCGTTGTTTAATACACAGTAATTTAAGAAACCCAGATATCACAGGATAAAAAATGGGGCTGGAAATTACAATTATCTTAATTCCTTTATCATTTGTTTACAATCATGTACTGCTCTAATTAAAACTTCAAATACATTTTCGAACGACAGGAAATGTGAGATTACAAGTGGATAAATAACAGAACAACACTTCTAAAGGGTTTTGACGACGATAGCTTACATTTAAGATTATTCTTTGTCAGGATTTCTTCCATCGTCTGTTCTTTAAAATCACGACGTTTCGGAGGCTGGTTCTGTGTCCGTCTTCAGGTGGGAGGTACCTTTTAAAGAACAGACGATGGAAAAAGTCCTGACAAAGAATAATCCTAAAGCATATAACAGTCTAAGATGGCTGTCTTCTGGGTTGTACTGCAGTGTAGTCTGTTAAGAGTTTACCAACGTTTCAGAGATCCTTGCTGCCTCCATCATCACGGCCTGTGAAACGCCGGTAAATTTCTAACACACTACACTGCAGTACAACTCAGAAGACGCCATCTTCGTATTCACCGCTGTGATAATTTCGAATCCTACAGCCAAATTATATGATATTCAATCGAGTCACTGAGTACATTTCGAGTATAACTTCAGGGATGTTCCCAGAAAGCAGGTTATTCGACATTTTTGTTATTTTAAAGAGTTTCATAGGTATAAATAAGAGAAAGGATAGTTATTAATGGTGTGAAGGCAAGGGTTTGGATAGAGGCAGCATTTAGCTATTTGAAAGTGCGCTGGTATTTGTCTGGAGATACTGAGGAAGATGATGAAAACCCTGTCAGGACAGATTTCTCACTATCAACAGGGTCACCACCCTGGCGATATTCGAAACGAATAATTCCCTATTTCAAATGTACCACGTTACAATTACTCCACCCTTCTCTGTTTTTGAGTTGAAGAGCGTAAGACTTGGAAATTAATATAGCGCAGGTATTTTATGTAGGTCGACAAATTTTACCTGTGCATAGAAAAATTGCCGAGTCCATTCTCACAAATGTATTATGTTTCATCCAGTTCATTGTTTTCTGCATACAAGGAAGTAGTGTGAGAGTAATGTAGCATGAAAACGTCTATTTTTAGTATTCTGTCTACATTGAGTAAACGTACATCAAATGTATGTACAGTACAATGACAGAAGTATTTTGTGTGCAGCAATACCACATCAATAAATACCAATGTAATTATAGATTAACATTATCAATAGATCTATATAATTCGCTGTGCCTGCGTCTACGTCCTTTATCTATAGCGGAGATCACAAGTTTGATTCCTCTCACCATTCTTATCTTCCTTCGTTCACTGCGCAGTTTAGAAGCGATCAGTAAATAATCGAACTGTGTATGAAATTGTGTGATGGATCTTCACTTACTGAGGTTATTATACTTCTGGTAGAAACAGATCCTTGTACATGGTATAGAAGTTAGACCGTTTCAATTCTGTTTAGTGCAGATCTTTCATAGAAACAGGTCGAAGTATATAAATCGCTTGCAGGGGATGTGTAGAAATTGATATAAGTGTACACTTTAGTGAATTCGAAAACTTTTCATCAACAAAAGTGCTGGTAACAAACACGCGAAAAGGGAAGAAACTTCCGTAAAACTCCTTGAAAAATGGGCACGGAAATAGAGAAAAGACCGTAATTTGTTCCAGAAGAGCGGGAAAGAAATACGGATAGTCGCCATCCTGAAAAAGAATTTAAGAATGGAAACATTTCCAGATAGTATGGCACACTGCAGGGTTAGGCAGGATTATACTGGAAAGGCATAATACAATTTTGAGCATAAAACATGTATTATCGAAATACAAACTTCACAGTTCATCGGCTTAATGGCTCGCCGACTGTGACGTACATTTATTACAGATGCAAAGCTAACAGCACTACAGACAAAACACTGCAGTAAAACAGAAATTGTGTTTTTTTATTTCGTTAGACGATGATGATGGAGGCAGCATAACCTCTGAAACGTTGATGGAAATCTATCAAACTACACTGCGCAATAACCCAGAAGACAGCAATATTCAAATTATGAAAAATTAAAGTGGATTATGTTAATTAACAATAATTATCCATTAATTTATAAAGTTTAACAATCAAGAAGACAAATGTGAAATTCATTTAGGACACTATACAAAATCTATGAGGGTTCGACCGTAGAATGAGTTCAGGTACTCGAAAAGAGCACAGAGAAAGATTAATAAAGGAATAAAAAGAAAGACAGATCGAAATTAAAGATAAAGGAAGGAAGTTCAAACAAAGGGACATTGTGAGGAAAAAAATAATTCACGGAAACAAGCAGCAAATGGATGAACGAAGAAGAAACAAACAAAGACCGATAAGAGAAATAAAATCAGACAAAAGGAGAAGGAAATAAATAAAACCAAGCTAAAGGGAAACCAGGTAAAATCAAGCAGTTAAGGAAAGAATGCAATTAAAATTAAAGGACAACAAAGTTATGAAAAAGAAAGACGCAATACGTAGAATGAGATATTCATTACAAGGACCAAACATGTGTAGAAAGACAGAGGCAGTGGGCAGGATCTGCGCCAGGAAATGAAAACCGGAAACGAGCAGCTAATTTTTGCGACGAAGCACAGAGCGTGGGTGAGTACGTAATTGCTTCCACGGCAGTGAAGCAGCAGGCAGGCAGGCCAACTGATTTTCCGCACACGCTGGCCGCTTGTCGCTGGTGCCACGTTCTCCGTCGGTGTCGCGTACATATCCTTGATGCAATTTACAACTACCGCATAAAAGGCGTAATAAAACATGACAACTATAATAATAATTGTTTTTTATAGGCACGTGAGAGCATTGGTCTCTCTTCGCAAGCGAAGAACACAGAATGACAGTGTTTGAGAACAGCCGAAGAGAATATTTGGGCGTAAGAGAGCGAGTAGCAAGAAAATGGAGACATCTTTACTCTTTAAAATATATTATCAGGTCATGTAGAATGCATGAAAGAAATGGAAAAAAAAAAAAATTGCCTGAAAACCAAAAGGAACAAGACCCTTTAAGAGACTTATGTGTAGAGGGTAGTATAATATTAAAATAAATCTTTGAATATATTGTGTGACGATATGAATTAGATTAATATAGTTCAGAATAGGGTAAAGTGACATTTATAAACTCGTTTAAAGGGATAAGGTTTGAAAAAAGGTGGGTTTTTTTACTAGTTGAACGTCTATTAGCTCGTATTTATCACAGTTACATTGTTATTCTGAAGAATAAACTTTAGATATTAGGAAGTTTTACAAGATTAATAGAAATTTAAAAAGTGAAAGCAACATTCTTTCAAATAAATTCAAGGGGAAGAGGAAATAAGAAGTTTTGAATGAAAGTTTGGAACCTCTCATGCTCGGTTTAACACAAGGTGGAAAAACTGAGAGAAACTCAGGAAGATATGAGGAATCTTAGGTAGGGAAACTGATCATGACTGGAATTAAAATCTGGCAAATCCTTCATGCGAGCCACAGATACGTTACCACTGTGCTAACCCATTCAGATGACTTTTCACTTCAGTGGTTCCAGATTGGAAACTGAGATGATGATAAGTGACCAGCTTCGCCTAAAGGAAATTTTTATTCAGAGAGTCTGCGACAAATTAGTGGCTTGGAAATGCAGTCCTTTGGCAAAATGTCCGCAGGGACCATCAATGCCACCACGAGTGACACAACACGCTGCTTTCAGCCATGTTCGTCTCTTCTCGTCACTGCTTCAGCACACAAGAATCTTATTAATCTCTGCATCAAGAGATGAGGAGTGCTAAATCACAGACTAATGTGTCTCAGTCATGCTTCTACATTTAATTTTACTGAAGAAACAAACGTAAATTAGTTAATTAGCAGAAATTCGGAGACGCTTCGTATTGATCTCATAAATCGCAGGTATTTCTGTACAGATGTGGTTAGTACGAAAGTACAGCTTATTCCTAATTAGCTAATTCATTAATGGCCCAGTAACAAAGCCTAACTATTCCAGGGGATCATAGTTCTTGAAAAGCTGGTAGTCTCTAAGCTGCTCGATAAATCCTTCGCCACTTACAGAACCCAAAGTTTCATTACCGCGTTCACAAGACCCCAAAAAGTGGCACTATTTCTAGCCAGAATAACCCAGTTCACAATATTACTTCATATTTATGTAAAATACATTTTAATGTTATCTTCCCGTCCAAGCTTAGATTCTACGAAATATCTTTCCTTCAGGGTTTAAAACTAAAGTTGTTATGTGTTTCTCAGTGATAGTTCCCTAAAACGCAAAACGACTAACTACATAAGTATCTAACTGAATTAATAACTAGTTTTCTAAGCAACTGACTGAGATTTTGTCTGATTAATTAACTAACAAATTGGCGAAATGACTGACTAACATAATAACCTACTGGCAGGAAGAGTCAATGATTAACTGTATAACACATTAACTAACTAACGGACTAACAGACAGAAAGTTCAACTAATTTGCTGACAGACTATATAACTACTCACTAACTAAATAACAGAAAATATAAGTAATTGATAAATTGCTTGAATAATTTCTAAGTAGGCCAATTGACAAACTGGGCCAATGAGCCTAATGCAAAGACAATCCATTGAATAAACTAAATTTTCGGTACGTAGCGTAAACTGAATTACTATGAAGGATAAACTTTGGTTTAACGCTTACTACAAGCGTTCCTGCTAGTGGAAGGTAACGAATGTTACAACACAACACAACATGAGCGGAACTTCAATGCACCAAGAGAGAATCTGCTTACCTCCTCTTTCTCTCCAAGAGAGTCTCCATTTTCTACACGGAATCGACGTCCGTTGAGTTCGTGGCCATCTGATTCGACCTGCGGCAGCTGAAAGCATAAAATAAATCGACATGGAATACCAGCTTTTCAATATCTTGTATTTAAATGACAATGAGGAAAGATTTTATTTACTGTTCAAATTCGTCTCAGTGGCTGAAATACTGCACATCGAGGGACTTTGGAAAATTCGAAGACCTTCACTTTCAGAGCACAAAAATTATATTATTTTAAAAGAAAGTGAGAATTAGAAATAACCTGAGGTGATACCAAGCTTATAAAGACGGACAAGGAAATACGCTCAACCACTTGATGTGGCCTAGTTGACGGAGATCGGTGGCGAACTAATGTTATAGAATCCTTTTAAATGTGTTAAAATCAAGATAAAATAACTTATAATAACGTGTAATTGTATAAACATATTATTGAAATATCGTTCAGTGAAATTTTTAAAAACGCTAAAAATAATAAAATAGAAAATACTATTTGTGCCACTTGCTGTATATGGGTGTAAAAGCGATTTATAGCTTTGAGGAAAGATCATAAACCACAATTAAAATTAAATTATTTGGTTATTCCGTCAAATCACAATGTATTTAAAATAAGATAATTAAAATAATTAAAATATCATTCTTTGTTCCATATCGAATAATCGATTTACAGTTGGAACAGTTACAACATGTTTCGGTTTTATTAAACCATCATCAGGTGTAAAATTATATTAAATTTAAAACTCAATTACAATTTTTTAAAAATTTTTCGTAGTGTAGTTTTGGAGGTCGTGTCCAGATATTTTCATATAATGGATCAACTTTATTGTTTGAAGTGATGCTTTTGATGTTTACATCGGTCAGAGATGAAATAGTAGACAATACAGTTGTGTCTGGAGGTGATCCAGAAGTATTACCGTATCCGATGAAGGTTTATTACTGAGTCCACAATATGACGCAACTACACTATCTCATAAACCACAAGTGTTTGGAAACAAAGCGTTTGGCGGACTCCCTTAGGCCTATATGACAAAATATTTTTAATACAGATAAACTTCACGGTGCTTAGTTTGACTTAATCCTTAATTCTTTCGTAAAAATAACAATTCATGAAACAAAATTCAAAATGCATGTTACATTAATATTTTCTGGAACAAACTTCAGTCGCTCTTGCACTGAAACGAATCAACTATTTAATGCGCGAAATAAACAACACAATTATTGTATAGCACATTAATTCTATGCTGCTAAAAGTGGCAAAACAAAACACCATTAAATGAATGTTTCGACCACGTGTGTTTATGTGATTAGTTCAATCCAATTGTTTTACAGGTGTGGGTGGGCTAATTGGTTTGTGTGCATATTCAAAGCCCTTTTGTAGGGGCAGTTAGAAATTTTTAAATGACGGCTAGTAACAACACTCAAATATAATATTATCACCATGTTTGTGCTCGGGCCTGCTGTACTCGCTAATTCGAAACCGCATTCTTACAAAAGGAAACTAAGTTTAATTTCCTCGGTTCAGTTGCTATGGTTAATTAAAACAGTGCGTTGGTTCAGTGATTCACAGATAAATTGGGTAACACAAAATGTCAGACAGTTCTCCGAAAATAAATACATAATAACCTCTTGTACGAGCATATAAAATATAAGAAAAATTCACAAAACTCTGGTATGCACGGTTATTTTTATTTCAGAGTAAGAGTTTCTGGAAAAAAAGTATGGAGCTAAAATTTTCTTTATGTTATATTGGTATTATTGACGGTAGGTGGTAATTCAATTAATAAATATGGGGTGACCATTAGTAGCATAACATTCATATTAAATTTCGTGGAAACAAGCGTAGTAATTCGGCAGAAGATATCACTTGCTCAGATTCTCAATAATTTCTCTGTCTCTTATGGAACCTGAGTAAAAAGAAACCCTCCACTGGCCTTAATCTGAACCAGATGAATCAAGTCCATATCTTTACGTCCATTTCATTTTAGATCCACTTTAATATTATCCTGTCATCTATGCTTACATTATCTAGTATAATTATTCACATATGTAACTGTGAAGATTGCACTGTTATCATCTCCAGTCGTTCTGTGAGGTGACTGACTGAACTTGCGAATTAATGCAACCTGTCTCTCTTTATAAGTAACCACCCCCATCCAAAAACACAAAAAGCGATTGCAGTCTTAGCTAAGAATCACCCAACCCAAAACCCCGGATCATCACTGAATTCTGTGGGCCTCTAAACGTAATTTCACGAATGAATATTGGCAGTCTCCTATTACACACTACCTCTCTGCAACTACAGGAGTTTTATCGGTAAACACGCGGTAAATGAGATTGAAGTTCGTGAAGAAAGTGTGAATAGAAAACAGGAAAAAGACAGCCATCTTCGAATTCACCGCTGTGAAAACCTCAAATCCAACACAGAAGAAAGACGACTGTATTCTGGGTTGTTACACCATATAGTGCAATAGACGATTATCGACGTTTCAGAGGTGCTTACTGCCTCCATCATGTGGTCCCTAATAATGGAGGCAGTAAGCATTAAACCATCAACTTCAGCGATAAAACGAGAAGAGTAGTCAGAATCATGCACTCACGGCTTTATGCTCCGGAAAAGACACCAAGTTACCCCCTTGGATGGGAGGCTGGGTGGAGTCCAAAGACAGTGTCGATAACATTTCAACGAAAAATGTTCCTACCCATTCTTGAAATCCAACCCTGACCCTTCAGCTAGTAGCCAGCAACTTTACTAAGTTTGTTAAATTTTCTTGCGTTCGGTATTTATTTATACTTTTCATACCTTTATCTCCTTGCCTCCTTTCCAATCCTCTCCACATACCAATATCCTCGGCTTAGCTCACCTTTCGTTTCTGCAGCATCCATAATTTTATTTCACACTTTATACCACATTAAACATTTTTAATTACTGTCATGAATATTCGTTAAATACCAATCACACAGAACTTATTCCACAGAAACTACTCTACTGCATGACGATCGAAGCATCTGAAACCAATGAACCTCACTGTAAATTACTGTTTGACCTTATTCAGAACATTTCTCCATCTATCGTCATTACTGACAACATTATTTGGCATCCGCGTTATGTTACTTATCAGAACGTTTCCCGCGCCCATTTCTTCTGATACAGCAAGCAAACATAAAAGCAAATACGCAATCAGAGTGATTTTTATGTAACACAGATGAAACGTACGTTCCAATAATTTCACATTCACCAAGTCTAATAGTAGAACTGTTATCGTCTCGGGTCCTGAGCGCAGAGTTTGAAAGCCAAACATTACATCTCGACATGTATCAGCACATAAGTAGCCTTGTAAATATGAAGGTTTTGGTAGGCCTATATGTAAATAATTCTACAAGTGTTTATTCATCCAGAAATATTGTGACTTAACCTCGAGAATAATAAGACAGTAAAAAAACGTAATTATAAAAAATGAATATAACATTTTTGTTGGAAAGCCTGAATAGAGGGATTCACTGGAAAGACCTAGTCATAAATGGATATATATTTAAATATCTTAAAGGAGCATATATGGATGCTGACTGGATTCAACTGGCTCGGTACATGATTCAGTGGCGAACTGTTGTGATGAACTTCGTGGTTCCATAAAAGCTGACACTAAAGAAAGACTGCTTCATAACTACAAAGTTTTCAGCACACTTACATACACCTCCAGTCCTGACTCTATATTTACGTAACAAACTGACTAGTTAATTGAATGGTATAATACAATAGCAGAAGTTTCAACACCGCTAACACGCTACCAAACCCGCTGTTGGACACAATTCTGAGCCTTCTCCTTCCCATTCCCACTCTATATCTAGATAACAAATAAATTTATGAATTACTAAATAATCAACAGACGAACTAATTAAGTGTTAGTATAGCTCAAAAGTTTAAAACAGCTAATAATGAAAATCCGCCTATACACACAATCTTGAGGTTCTTAGAGTCCATCATCCCCAGGAACAATTTCCTATCTCAGACCAACAAAAAGACTAGACTTGTGTCGAGAAGGAAGCTGTGTGGACATAAAAGCAGCATGCTGACCGGTAATACACCGTACCACCCAGAAATTCAATTTGCCCCTGCAGCGCTACCTTAGCTCTGTGTCTCTCTCTCCACTACCACACGAGTGAAGGGACAGACGATCAGAATGCTCGGCGGAAACGAAGCTGTTACAGCACTCGGTAGGTCCGTCAAACACAAAGACCGAGAAACTGTCATGCGACCTTTTTTTTAAATATAGTGAAATATTACTGTGCGTAGCCTTTACGTCAAAAGATGCAATTCTGTAACAGACATGCGGAAAATATAATATCACGTCTTTGTTTTGCAGTTTTCTGGAATGCAATAAAATCCTTACTATTTGCAATGATCGCCGGTCTACGAGCCTCCGGTTTTTGGGTCGTTCGGAAAGAGGAACTACGACGTAAAATTACACTCGAGATATGGGTTCGGTTTTCCTGGTTATATGTAGTGTCAAGTTGACATCCACCTGGAATCCTGCCATCCTCGCAGAAACTGACTGACATTTTAGAGGTGCTTACTGTCATCATCAGGGCGACACTTCCATCATCTCCCTGATTTTTCTGCGCTCAGAAGTGACACACTTGACAATAGAGATATTATTTAAAATAACAATAATTATGAAACATTTATACATTTTTTGTTATTTTAAGTTTATGACTGACATTTCCGCATGCTGGGAACAGAAAAAGCCGCAAGAGTGACATTAATTGTATGTTGTAACTCTTTACATTGCAGTTTGTTAACGATAGATCGATCAGACTAGGCATCGCGAGCTGGTTGCGATATCTCGATAGAAGAGGCTGTAATGGTTATGAACGATGGCTCTTCTGTCATAAAAGGTGATAAAGCCACTATTTGTGGGGTTATAACGATGTTTCATGTGCCTTGAATGAGTTATTATATTAAGTAGCACCTACCCACTTGTACACTGAACTTAAAAGGGGTACTTCGGATACTGCACAACAAAATATGAATCATTAAAAATTGTTAAATTTAAATTAACAAGCAATAAGTAAAAAATAATTAAAAAGTCTGTATTAGGGAATATGTGGGATGATCAGGGAACGTTAAAATTACGACGATAGGAAATAAATTTAAAATTTTATACATTGATTGCAAATCTAACATTTTTACTTTGAAGTGAAACTAGATTCAGGAAGAGGAAAATGGTACTAAAATTCAATCAGCATAAATTTAATTTCATAATTTAGGAAACATGAAGAAACATCGCTGGGAAACCGAAAGTAAATAAATAAGAGGAATTATTGTTCACATAATGTACATATTGTGAAAATACGGAAATTGGGCGTGTCGTTTATGATGTAATATTTTCCTCAAGCATAGGAGAAAATGTAGTTGGAGGTGTGTGAAAGGGAGGGACTGGTAAGTGTATTATTCCCTGAAAAAAATCTAAATTGCACGGAATTTAAACGAATTACTGATACCGAAGTGTGTCTTTTATGATTGACAATGGATGATGCAGACACGTCATCCATTGGCCAAACTTTGTTCCTTTACAGCCGACTTTCTGTAAACAAATCGTCTGTTCGCAAACACAAGAGTTTTTTGTACTTTCAGCACAATGGATGAACACGGTGCGATTGTTCAGTGAATATAATTATATCAAAACCACATTTACTATTTGTATATGAAAACTTCTTTCGTTTAGATTAAAATAACAAACATGTACATTTACAGTATCGTTCTCATAGCTTTCATACAGTGGCATATTATTATTTTATGTAATTATTCATTTATATTTTCGGTAACCTCTCCAATCAGACGCTTTTATTTATAATATACTTACAGGCTACACGCCACGGTAACTTACTCCATGGGGCCTACTCCTTCCCCAAAAACCAACAGCCACAGCCACTCCTTAAATTCTCAAATTTTTATGTAATTCTAAGATTCATTACCGTGTTAACAAAAGCCTACTCCTGGTAATTTTCTAGAACCACGCTACCCCACGCTATTTATCTAACATCCATTTTAATATTATCCTACCACTTATGTCTAGGTCTTCCAAATGATCTCTTTCCTTCTGGTTTGTCCGCCAAACCCATGTAAGCATTCCTCTTTTCTCCCATACGAGCTACATGTCCTTCCTATCTCATCTTCTACACTCTATGGTTAAATGTTGTAATAACATAAATATGATAGAAAATGACTGTATATATTTAAAAAAATTGAATCATTAAGATACATTATGTTAAGATACTTAAATATCTCCGCTATGAAATCTATAATTCAAGGAAGCGTTTACAATTCTGGAAAAAAGTGCATGTAGTAACTCGAAGCAGACAGGAATGAGTAAGAATTTTAAAGCACCAAGCACCGTGTAAAAGTTCAAAGCAGAAAGCGTAAAATTGCTATACGGGTTCTCAGTGTTTGGACTTTCAGACAGTGTTCAACGTGTGATTAATGTATTTTCTGCGTGTGTTCGTGTTTTTGAGTTAAAGACGGATCGACAAATGCACTTGTACTTAAGTGTCATGCCTCAGAACGGAAAATTCATCTGTATTACACAAGGATGGTACGATAAGATGTAATAGCAATAACAAGTCAGGTTGCATAAAGACCTGCGAATTAATCAATGTTAAAAATTGAAATTCAACATGATAACATTAATCCTTGACCCATTAGGACGGCGGACTATGGTAAAATGTAACACTAACAACAAAAACAACAAAGCCGGAATGCAATATAATAAAGAGGGATGGAGGATAAAAGTACGAAGTTACAAAAGACGAAAGTGTTAACCTAAAAGAAAATGCCGCTTCTAAAGGGACCAGACTAGTAGTAAAATTCCACTCACCAGTTCCACAGATCCATAATGCCTGCGACTGAAGACGCCTCTCCTCGAGATGAGGTCGTTTGTGGACGAGCTGTAAACAAGCAAACAAACAAACCAAACAATTATTTGATGGTGGACTCAAGACAAATCATACACATTGTAACAAAACCAACTGAATAATAGATGAGATTTTATCTTATCGCGGCGGTAAGTGTAAATATGTCTTATGAGGTGTTCCCATCACGTAGTCTGGTAGGAACTGACCCAGTTTAGAGGTGTTTACTGCCTCCATCATCAGGGCGATGACACTCATCCTCATTCATTTATTCATCACTTTTTATTTAAAAGTCAACGCGACAAAATAAAAGTAGCTAGTGTACTGGTATTTTTACCTATGCACAACCCTAATAAATTACAGCGCTCCCAACCCCCCGAAAAAGAGTCTACAGAAAATGTTAACAGCTAAAACTTCCGGTAAGTGCTATATAATGTGAAGTTTTCTCATGATTTCACGACGTTTGTTGATTTATCGATAATTAATAGATAATTTGTACCCAATTTAACGTATAATGCATATGCAGTACGTTTGGACTTCACTCGTTTCTTCTGCCAATACAGGTGTTACTATAATGACAAACACTCGGTTGGAGAGAAGAATACAGTCAACTTATCTCAGATCGATCGATCGATCGGTTCGATTGCTACACATTCCCGAACCGGTAGATACTAGGTCTAAATAAATTACACTCGTGAAAATGGATAACGTTCAGTATTACTGCAGTGAAAAAAAATGCAGAATATTGTTTTAAAGTGAATGTATTATAATTAAATGACTAGTCCTTTGATTCTTCTATTGAATTATTTATCGAAACAAATAATTTAATATTAATGAAATGTATCTATACTTGGACAAGATGATTAATTATAAGCCTTGTTTAACTGTAGAACAGATAATAAACCATTAATACTTCACACACCTCCTCTTTAAAGTAACACACAATCGACTGTAGGATACAGGTAAAGCCTCTTTAAATTCCCACTGTTGTTTTGGTGACACAGAACATTCATCACAGAGGCTTACAGTTGTCGGATTTTAATAAACCGTTAGATCACATTAATTGACATGGCCACGACTCATCACAGTTGTAACTTTCAAATGTCTGGCAGTATTCTCTTTTTCGATTTCGCTTTATAGTGATCTTCTGTTGGTTTCGAAAAAATTATCACGTAAAGAACCCAAAAATTTCGGCTTCTAATTATAATACAGAACAACGAACAACAATATCATATTCATGAACCTACTACACTTACTTTAATCGTCTCAAATAACGCTTTTAGGTATGGAAACTGAGGAGAAACCTCTAGAATTCGTCAAGCGTGTTTACTGAGAGATGTTAGTATTCAGTTAGTGACGTATGACTTCGGTTTAATTAAACGTGTTTTTCATTACAGGTCATTCAGAAGCCTGCTACAAAGGGCTGCAAAACACAATAAAGGCACAGCCCAATCCTGATGTAATAACATTTAGCACGCTTCAGGTGGAAGAAGAACGAACATGCAAATGCACTGTTGTTTACCACATAAGATGCATTTTGTTTACGCACAGCGTCTGTCTGCTGTTTCGGGAACCGAATGGACAACAGATGGAAGGAGCATGTCAAAAGCTTGAAGAAAGACTTTATGAAGACAAACGTTGCAGTTTTAATGGAGGATATGAGCAAGATTTAGGTAATCTCTGTAGAAGATACAATATGCACATTTCAAGTGTATACTTTTAAATTTTATTCAAGACAATTCTTATATCTATGTTTAGCGAGAATCGCCCAGCGAATGAATTTTATGCATAGTAACACTCATGCAACATACGATATAAGGTATAAGCTAATTAATTTTCTTAAGTAAATTGGTCTTTAATAACTAAAATAAACCCCAAAGGGTTTGACAACGCTTCGTTCAGGCCCTGTTTAATTAAAATCGGTCGCATATTTTGGGTACTGATATTTGTTGGTGGACATAATAAAACTATAAACTATTAATGTTCATTCATGACCACGCCATAGATACTGTCTACTAACTATTCCGTTGAAAACTGTTTAGGACTAAGTCTCTGATGTTAAAGTTATCTGGGGATTCCCCAGTCAGCAACGCGCGCTAAGTGCAATCAGATTTTCATATAAAAGTGGCTGTTATTTTTTGCTCGATCTTGACCAAAATTTGAGAGCAAAGAGAAATTTTACTGAAACTTCCAAATACCAAATTTCATTAAAATTGGTTATGCAGTTCTGGACTTGTTGCAGAAAGATGGATAAGGAGAAGCTGATGGACGCATTTTTAAACTCTTTTGAGAAGGCTCCTAAAAGTCGAAACAAGGACCTACTGAAAGCAGAAGATAATGATCATTTAGGTCTACTGTTAAACACCCATCCCCTAAATATCAACTGTGGGGAATGAACTACTAAAATAAGAAAACTGATAGCACATTATGAACCAATTCTTTAACCCTTACTATAATCTGACGTTTGTTCGTTTGCCATACCAAAAAAATATCAATAACGTTCCTTACTACACATTACAATCTCACAGATATACAAAACCAAGCAATTAAACGAGCGGAAACGTGATTTAAATTTATTTAACCGTTCAACTCACGCAGTTAAACGACACAACTTCCATTTTCAGTTTTAATTAAAGTGGTATTAAACATTCCCACTGTGAATTTCTAATTACGTTTAAAGAACTGTTGAACAAAGTTTATGGATAGACGTATTAAATAATTTGTAATTAGCTCTATGTAGGTAATAGCATCTTTCCCTTGTTAGCTACGGAAGAACACTTTGAAGCGAAACTTGAAAATATGAGCTCCTTGTTCATAATGAAATAACACCAAGCAGAATAATAAAAAGCCTTTCATGTTACAACTGTTATAGAGCACTGCAATGCGGTTAGTATTCTTACTTGCTTAACCACACTTATTTCAGTGTTTCTCAGCCAGTGGTCCGGGGAACGTGCCGTTTGTATACAATAATGCTATACTCTAATTGGTGTTAAAATTTATTCCATTATAGACAAGGAGATAATATTTTTATGTTAACTTCATAGTGTTGTTTCCTTAGCTAACAAGATCAATTAAATAAATTATAAAATGTTTTCTTTGCATTTCTGTATACCTCATTTACCTCAATTTTAATCTAAGAAAGCTTCTACTCATTCTGAACCTCGGCACTGGAAGGGGTGATTGGTTAGCGTCACGGCCCGGCCACTCTTTAACCCCGGGAAACGACATCGTTACCCACTGGATAAGAGGCTGGTTGGGCCCCAGAGCCGGCCTGAACGCAGAGAATAGAAGAAAATCCTCTGCCTCTGTCGGGAACAAACTCCGATCACCCAGCCCAAGTCAGTGACTGAGCTATGCGGTTCACCAATGTCAAATTATTACATATGTAAGTCTAGGAACAAGTCATTAGTCCACGAAAGATACCGCAAAATATGGACGAAAATGATTGTTCACTGTATTTCCTTCAATACATGTTTTAACTATAAGAATTAACAGTGTCACAAACAAACCTAGTAACTGAAGCAATTAACTCACCCTGAAGATGGAGGTGATACGTTCGTTTTCGGGAGATCGCGGGTTTATATCTCGGTTCGGAAACTGGCTATCCTGACTGAGGGTTTTCGTGGTTTTACTGAATCATTCTAGTAAAAATGTCGGGATATTATCATAAATTGCCACAGCAAACGTTTTCTTTAATGTCCTTGCCTATTCATTAATGATCGATAATGCTTTCATCCGACGCTATTTAGCCCGAAATACGGAGAGGGTCGTTAAATAAATCACTAATGAACAAACAGATAAATACCTCCGATAAGCAGCTACCCCCTGGGGATCAGACTTCCGGGCAGGCATCGATCAGTGCACTGTGCAGTCACGCTTCCTGCCAGATTCGATTTGTGATTACTTTTTTTAACACCGGTCCCCATTGTTACGTTAGCATTCTGCAGCTGCGGAACTAGACAAAGCTCACAGCATCCTTTTCATATCCCTGAATAACGTCACGTAAAAACATTATTGGTTAGTGGGGAAAAAATAGATTACTTTCTTATCGTAGGAAGGTCTTACGTGGAGTTGATACCAGAATGTGTAACAGATTTCAGGTTTCCAAGCCAGTAAAGGAATCGCCGATCGTTGTCTTCTCAGTTGTAACGCATGTGGTCTTGTAAATGGGTCATCAGGGCGATGAAGATTTCCTTCTGGCTTGTTGCGCCGATTCATCGTCCTGATGACGGAGGCAGTATGATCTCTGAAACGTTGGTTAACATCGACCCGACTACACAGCGCAACAAGCCAGAAGGCAGACATCATCGTCCTGATGACGGAGGCAGTATGATCTCTGAAACGTTGGTTAACATCGACCCGACTACACAGCGCAACAAGCCAGAAGGCAGACATCATCGTCCTGATGACGGAGGCAGTATGATCTCTGAAACGTTGGTTAACATCGACCCGACTACACAGCGCAACAAGCCAGAAGACAGAAATCTTCAAGCACTTACCCCATTTACAAGACCACATGCGTTACAACTGAGAAGACAACGATCGGCGATTCCTTTACTGGCTTGGAAACCTGAAATCTGTTACACATTCTGGTATCAACTCCACGTAAGACCTTCCTACGATAAGAAAGTAATCTATTTTTTCCCCACTAACCAATAATGTTTTTACGTGACGTTATTCAGGGATATGAAAAGGATGCTGTGAGCTTTGTCTAGTTCCGCAGCTGCAGAATGCTAACGTAACAATGGGGACCGGTGTTAAAAAAAGTAATCACAAATCGAATCTGGCAGGAAGCGTGACTGCACAGTGCACTGATCGATGCCTGCCCGGAAGTCTGATCCCCAGGGGATTCCACTTCTGGAGGGCACTCGACCCCTTCCCCTGCACCTCCTCCAGTCGTCTGGAGTATGGATTGGCGCCAAGGAAATCCGCACTTACGTCCACCCTTCCGGCAAGTCACTTAGACCCGCAGTTGGATTTCAAATTCGTCTGCGTCTGACAGAAATTTGGTTTTAAAGTAGTAGTTGTGATGGAGG